AATAGAGGATTAAAAAGCACAGGATAAACGTTTTTTCAAAAAAAAACTTTAAGGTATGAGGTTCCATATCCATCCGCCAAAAGGTATGACCCCGATATAGTCCATTTAAAAACTCGTGGTATTGTTCTAAATAACGCCATAGTTGGCTTCTAGGGTACCTTGTATGCCACTATTTGGTATCAAGATAAAGAGGAGGAGTTCAACTTTCATTTGAATTACGAAAATAGCGATGTAGGTCAAAAAAAGTTCCGGCGTGAGCATGTTTACTACGCGTTTGCCCATCATATCAGAATTGAGGAAGTGGTAGCAAACGCGAGTCACAATAAATAGACGCTGATATCTCAAAAAGTAACCCGACTCCCTATAATTTGATGTAGATCAATCGAACCCCTATATGAACAGGTACATTTTGATATATAACACTATGGGGGGGGGGGGTAAGCGTTTTATAGTTGGTCACGAACGCCATATGTGCAAAGTATTGTTATGAATTTTCGAATTTGGTGTTGGATTACGGTACTCATACCTTAATATGAGGCCTAAAATTGTCTGCTAGTTGGCCAGAGACCAATATTCTAGCAGAATTTGAGAACAGAATCGATTTAGGGAATGAAAGCTGTTTGTCAGACGTATCGTTTTCTTCAATAAACTCAGAGATAGTCAGGTTAGATTTGTGAAGTCATATTGGCAAAGTTAGACTAGCATATTTAGACGTATTTGGGGTAGGGCAAATTAACCCTTCCTAGCCTAAATGGATAAATTTTTCACATATTCAGCCAGTTCCGACGTTTTTATGCATTTTTGAATTAGAAATGATATTTTCTGCCAAAAAAAGTTGCAGAGACAAAAATCAATGTGATGTCATAAAACATTAAATTTGAAGTACTGCCGGATTACGTCTTTGCTTTGGACGAAACGACCTAAACAAAATTCCCGGGGGAAATTAGCAAGAAATTCTTAGAGTAGTGCGATTTTATTTACAGTAACAGAAGTACGATGCATAAGCTATTAGTATATTTCAAATTGATCTTATTCAATGATATTTTTCCTAAGAATGGAATTTACACTTATGATTTTGGCATGAAATTGACTTTTTGTAAAAAATCCTGAAATCTAAACGATTAAAGTGGATTTTTTAGGTTTTTCCACATTTTAACAAAAAAATATAAGAGAATAAGCTACATAAAGCATATCAAACTGATCGTGAGACAGTATCCCTTGATTCCCAGTTGCTAGATTGTCTCTACATAGCTTGTATAAGATGGAGCAAGCTGATTTGTAAACTGGCTCCAAGTTGGAGCAAGTTTTGAAAAATGAGCGCGGTGCGTTTTTATTTAACGGAAATGCAATGCATAATCTGTTCTGATTTAGTGAACGTGATCTAATTCATCGATATTTTTACTTAGAAATGAATTTTCTCTCATAGTTTTGGCTTGAAATGACTTTTTGCTAAAAATCTTGAAATAAGTTACAATTTTACGTATTTTTCAGTTTTTTTTCTCATTTTCAGGCCAATTATACGAGAATAAGCGGCAAGATTGTCCGTTAATAGCTTGTGTTTAATGGTGCGAGCTGATTTGAAAACTGGCTCCAAATTGGAGCCAGTTTTGAAAAATGAGCGGTGCGTTTTTATTAAACAGAAATACATATTTTTGGAATTGACAGATTGATGAACGTGATCAAATTCATCGATATCCATGCTTAGAATTCAATTTACCCGTATAGTTTTGCAAAAATATGACAATATAAACTATATTCAAAAGCCATCTTCTGCAGTACATCAGTAAGTAAGAAGCCAGTTTTAAAAGCCGGCTTCTTGGTGACTCTAGAAGCCGGCTTCTGTTGTCCTTCAGAAGCCGGTTTTTAAAAGCCGACTTCTTGTTGACTGTAGAAGCCGGCTTCTGTAGTACGTAAGAAGCCAGTTTGTAAAAGCCGGCTTCTTGGTGACTCCAGAAGCCGGCTTCTGTAGTACGTAAGAAGCCAGTTTTTAAAAGCGGTTTTTGCCTTCGAGTACTTCTGACCTTTTCACTAGCGCCCTCTGTGGAGTTATCCCATCATTTTGTAAAAGGAAAGCAAGAATTAGCACATTTTCACTAAATAAGGGAAAATCTACCCACATATCACTGGTCAGTATCAAGCGAAGGTTCATTCGCATTAAGATGGCGGAAGGGAAGTGTCGATTTCGATAATTTTGGTTTTCATTGAATTAAACTACTTTATAGTTGTTGGAAATCTGTGACACTTTAACTAAATCCGTTTTTTATGTCATGGAAACTTTGGAGTGGGGTATGATCATTTGTTCATGTAGTGTGCGTGGACGTCACCGTTCAACGATATCTCCCGTCGCTTAATGGAGGGTAACTGGAAATGTATGATATGGTAAAGGTCGTGAAACCAAAATCCCAGTAAAATCAAAATTAAATGCAGTTGAAATAGGGACAACACATAATAGATGTAAATAACTTAAGTCGAAATAAATACATAAAGAGTTTAACACGTTCATTCTTGAATTCAACATATTATGATGCCTGTCGGGTCAAAAGGTGGTTAAGTTAAGCTACACGTTTTAAAGTGAAGTTTGACGTGAATTATGTAGAATTATGGCCCTCTATAGATTATTTTTCCCCTTCGTAGTATTTCTTTACCGATTAGGTATGAAGGTATGAGGAAATAGTAGTAATTTGGTTCCTAAAAACAACTGAGAGAGAACAGTGATCCAGTGAGGCTAAACTATTACATTAACAAACAAGTTCTCTGTAAAACGTGTCGCTTGACCTATTTAAAAACCGCATAAATGAAGAACTTAATCACTTAACTGGATATTTTCGGTTTGGTGATCACAACACGATCAGAGAGAATGTTTTAAATGTTCTATGCTCAGCTGAAGATACTTAAAATGTGCACTCGATGTTTAATCTGTGTGCATCTATTTTGGTTTTATACCAGGAAAATATTTTATGCACTCAACGGTATTATGAAATTGAGAATTCGTCATCTTCTTTGCCGATCCGTCCATTGGACACAGTGTCCAACTCATGAGTTAGTATTGCTGTGTGACACCCACCCCCTTACTCACCAGACAAGGGTAACTCGGTGTTTATTGGATTTTGATAATTTTAGAAAAGATCTTATGGACTCACAAGTATCTTCCAAAAATATATTGAGGATTCGTTATCTTGTCTGTGCGATTCGGTTGGACATATGGTTTGGCCGATGAGCTTGTTTTGCTTCCCCCTTACTCACAAGACAAGGTTATTCAATGCACGTGTAATGCTAGTCTTAAGGAGAGGACTTAGAATGGGCAATAACCTCCCGGGAATAGCCTATTGTCCAGACCTTTTCGTTTACTGTAAATCAACATGATGTATGATGTAAACATAGACGAAAATAACATATTCTTAATATTAATAAGTCTTATATATGTATATATATTCAGCAATTTATTTATAACATGAGGGAGAACCATCAGAAGACAAGGGACTATACTTTTCTTAGTCAAAAAACAAGCAATCCAATAAAAACGTTTTGCATCGAATACATCAATGTACTTTTAGTTTTTAGATTAGATCGACGCACGCGCAGATTGACGCACAAGCCAGCCGACTCTTACAATAAGACTGTCAATCCCGCTGTCGATGAACTGAATCAATTCTTTATTTTCTTTAAAGCTACCTAGCCAGGTTAAGTTTGCACGAATACTCTCATCAAAATACTACACGCTTTTTCACAATAACAAAATATCTAAATTGTATATGGGTGACTAGTGTGTTTTTAAATAGGTTTTGGTAGTCGATGTTGATTTTAACAAAGAAGTGGACATTTTAAATGTAGTAAAGCAGTCAGTGCTATGACCTTAAGAAATATAATAAAAAGGATTGAGATTGAAAATAAAACGCTGGCTGCACACGAAATGACCCCACCTCGTTCACAAACGAATTTTGAATAAGTACGTTTAAGGTACACTCCCCTCGATAAGGATGGCAACCGAAGGGTTTCATCGGATATCATATCATAGCATTTCAAAGAGCATGTTAATAGTTGGAACTTATTTTTGTTCATTGGATAAATAGTTCGGAGATTTTTGACAAATCTGATGAATAATTTTAAATCTCAAGACATAATCAGGCTTTGGTAAGTGATACGAGAGGGACGTCCAATTGCTAAACTTATAGAGGGGAGTGTAATTCTGTGCAGCGGAACGATTTTTTGTCACACGTGTTCCTAAAGTAGGTTACCATTTTAAGGAGCTTGATTTCGCTTCTTTATATCAGACCTTTAAGGCACATGCTCAAGAAAACATTTTTGGAAAGTTAGTATACATGCACATGTTATTTTCTGGTACAGAATAAAGTATAGAGACATGGGTGTACTTCCTTAGTTTTTTCTGGAAAGCGTCCGTGTTGCATCTTGTGTTTAGTAAATTGGAAAGAATTGTAGGCAAAACACTTGTGTTGAAAAACTTGGAGAAGAAAGTCGGTCAATTTGAAAGTTTGTTTTTTGAAATATCAGCATTTCCATTGAGATAGCATTGACCTAGATCTATTAAATTAATAAGAAACGGAAGAGCAAGGAAAAGAGCAAGGAAATACACACATGTTTTCATACTTTCTTTGTACCACGCAACAACATGGGCGGTACAGCAATGTTTTCAAAAACGTTTTCTTGAATCATCACCTTGACAATAACCAGCCTCTGGACACCTGAAAATCCAGACTAGTGTATTCGCGAATCCGACGGCATTATTAATGAATTATGAGTTTTCCATCTTTTAATAATATGTGTCACTTATTTATTGAGTTTAAAAACAAATAACTAGACATTTTCTAATATGATAAGTTAACAAATCATACGAGATGTGACAATATCTCAATATAGTTTTTCTTTATGACCCTTTCTATAGGGGAATAGTTCTATCTTTGTGGCATTAAAAACCACAAAGATAGGCGTTATGAAATAACGAAAGGTACTTTAGATTGTTGGATTTCATTTTCTTGTATATAATGTCTTCCTTGATTGATCAACTCTCTTCAATGCATCTGGAAACGGGAAATGATAATGACAATGAAGGGTAAGTATATATTTTTCATATGTTTTAAGACTTTAACAATTATGAACGTTTGAATAATTATGAACATGCATGTTCATCTTTTCGAAGTTTTGCCCAAAGTAAGCAAAGCAGAACCTTGGTGGTCTGTCATGATCACAGGACACAGGCCCGTAGCCAGGGTGGATCGCAGGGTTCCCCCTGGCCAAAAATTCTTTCAAAATCATGCAGTTTTTCAGCATTTTGAGCACTTCTCGTGATTTTAGCCATATTTGGGCCAAAATTGTCAAATGTGTCCCCCCTGGAAAATTATGAAAACTGAAGCCCCCTTTGCAAATCCTGGCTACGGGCCTGGATCAGGAAACAAAAATAACATTAATTTTAACTATACCATGTCCACAATATACAGGTTGTATCATGTATACCAAACGACAGCCAGTCCTAGATCACAGTGCCTATTATATAATCTATATAACCATAATAAAGATTATTGAATTTTAGACATACTGGCCAACAAATATTCGCATGGATGATCATTGGGAACATAATTTGTGAACTTTTGTTTGCTACCCACCATTACCCTAATTTGCAAAATTTAATTTTATAATAAATTTTTCTTTCAAATATCGTTAAGATATATCCTTAGCATTCATCAAATATTAAAATAGGTACGTTGCTATACAAGTATATAATAGTGGCATGAGCCATAGTTATCATTGCTTTTAACAGGATACACGCCTGTTCGATTGTATACCATAGACCAAATAGGCATCTTATTTAGAAGTTGTTATAGATGCTTAGCCAAATCAAAGTTGCTTCAATAAGTCCAGCATTGAACAAGCTTTCATATGATATAAAACACATAATGGTCATCCTCTGAACACAGGCCTCCAGAACTCGTACCTCTTTCGTCCTCCTTCTATCTTCTTGCTTATTCTTTCTCATTTTAGGGGTACCAATTTTCCTATTGATTGCAATCATTACATACAACGTGAAATCAGTTTCAGCAACATGTCACACTTTCGATTTGGACCTTTTAAAATATTATTCTTTCTCATTTTAGGTGTATCAATTTTCCTATTGATCGCAATCATTACATACAACGTGAAACCAGTTTCAGCAACACGTTACACTTTCGATTTGGACCTTTTAAAAGATTGTTCTTCTAGTGATCCAAGCAAATGCTATGCTGATAAACAGAACTGTCTGGCTGCATGGGTAGAAGGAAAGTGTACTCCATCGAAATTAAGGAAGTCAGCCAAGGAAGTTAGTGCAATGTTTGGCATGGACTCCGATGAAGAGGGATGGTGCTTGTAAGTATTTGGTGAAACACGTGTCGCACTGCCGAATTACGGGTATCTAGTATTGAGTATTGGTATCGCATCTTAGAATCGTATATTACTGTGTCTGTTTTGTCTTATGCAGTATATGCATACATTTTCATGAATCCATGTCATCGTACATCTTTGTCAACATGCCTTATATTGTCATAGTGTCACCATGCATATTTACCATCATTCATCTGTGCACCATGCATGCACCATGCATGTGTCTTCCTTGCCATCTTGAATCGTTCAATAATGCATCCGTGGTATTATGCATATGTGGCATCGTACATTTGTGGCATTGTGCACCCGTTGCATTATACCTTTGGGGCAACATGTATTTGTGCCACGATGCATCAATGGCATCATGCCTTTGGGGCATCGTGTATTTGTGCCACGATGCATCTATGGCATCATGCATTTGGAGCATCGTGTATTTGTGCCACGATGCATCTATGTCATCATGCCTTTGGGGCAACATGTATTTGTGCCACGATGCATCAATGGCATCATGCCTTTGGGGCAACATGTATTTGTGCCACGATGCATCTATGGCATCATGCATTTGGAGCATCGTGTATTTGTGCCACGATGCATCTATGTCATCATGCATTTGGAGCATCGTGTATTTGTGCCACGATGCATCTATGTCATCATGCCTTTGGGGCAACATGTATTTGTGCCACGATGCATCAATGGCATCATGCCTTTGGGGCATCGTGTATTTGTGCCACGATGCATCTATGGCATCATGCATTTGGAGCATCGTGTATTTGTGCCACGATGCATCTATGTCATCATGCCTTTGGGGCAACATGTATTTGTGCCACGATGCATCAATGGCATCATGCCTTTGGGGCAACATGTATTTGTGCCACGATGCATCTATGTTATCTTGCAATTGGGGCATCGTGTATTTGAGCCACGGTGCATCTATGTCATCATGCCTTTGGGGCAACATGTATTTGTGCCACGATGCATCTATGGCATCATGCCTTTGGGGCATCGTGTATTTGTGCCACGATGCATCTATGTTATCATGCATACGTGGCATAGTGTATCATTTGTTGCATAGTGCATTTTTGGTATCAGTCATCTTGCATCTAAGGCATCATGCTTTAATAAACCCAGGCATTATACGCATATTATTTCTAGATCACTTATGTTAATGTTAAAAATTCCCGATTAGTTGAATTTAATTTTAGGGAAATTACAAGTTTGCCAGTTTATTGATTTATTTATTTTATTTATGACTTTAACACTAACCCAATTTCCTTTCTATTTTCAGTTTCTGTGAATTTATTTACCTGTTTGTCCCAGGCATATGTAAGGCTGAGATTGGGGGTTTATTGGGCCGACGTTAGCATTTTTAAACACAATGCTTGGTATATTGGCAAACCGACCCACCTTCCCGCCTATGGTACATTCCTAAACCGATCAAATGGTATCAACAATGTGGACTCTAATGCAGTGCATAAAGTATTTATATATATTGTAAACCAATGCACGATTTTAAATAAAAATATTGGCCCTTAGTGGTGACAATTCAATACTATACCTGCTGTCTGAAAATTCAAACATTTCTGACTTTATTTTGGGATTATCTTTTGATTTTAAGTTACCTATGAAAAAGAGAAAAGGAGGAATTTGAATAATTCTGAATCTTAAATCTTCAATAACATTACGATAAAATCAGATATCTTAATTGTACGGAGAACACTCGACGTGGGCTCGCTATTTACCACAGTTCACTGGCGGATCTGGGGGCCCGCCCCCCACCCTTTGGGTGGGCCCAGAAAAAATTGGGCTCAAAAGGCTCCAAAAAGTGGGCCTTTTTGGTCATTACTGGGCCTTTTAAGGCCTTATTTTTTAATTTCAGGTCAAATTTTGAAGAAAATGGGCCTCAAAATTTCAAAATTTGGGTTTTAGGGGCCCACATTTTTTCCGCGCAGTGCGGAAGTTTTTTCTCTGACCTGAAATATCCCCCCCCCCTTGTTGGTTACCAGATCCGCCCCTGCTGTTTGTAATACCGTTGAGCAAACGAACGGGCTACAACATGATACACGGTACCTACGGGGTGGGAAAAACAAACAGTTTTACAGTTCCCACATCACACCAAATACAAAAATTAATCAAAAAAGGAAATAAATGCCAAAAGTCACCACACGATGGTGAACGATGAGCCAACCCGGCTACTGTGACAGCTTTATTCGGCCGTGATTACCGCGCCATCTTTACATTTGATGAAGTTATATTTTATTTTCATATTTGCAAGTAAGTGTTAATTATCATGTCGAGGAACTTTTTCTAATTCTTTCTCTTATTCTATCATGAGTTATAAATGATCTTATGATGCAGTTCATATCGTTCAGCTTAAAATCCACCTGTTTATGTGTACTGTACAAAAAACGGACTAATCCGATGAGCAAGATAAGAATAAATAAAGGCAAAGCAACAAATGTTTTCAATAAGTTCACTCTCAAAGATTTGTCGTTCTTAAATACGGTGCATTAAGAGCTCTTCAAACTGAAGAACAACCAGGAAGTAGGACACAGACCGATTCTTTAAAAGCAGAATTTATGGTGTTATTGAGGCGTTACATGCACTATATAGTAAGGTCAGATTACCAGTATTTTATCAATTACAATTTCTAACATTTTGCAGCTCAAATTGCTCAAACCTTGTCACACATCTCGTCTCGTTTCATCTAATTTCCTGGGGAGAATTTGAATCTCATTTTCGATAAAAAGACGGACGTTCTTAGTTGATCGTTCGCTTATTTCACAGAACCTTCAAGTAAAAAAGTTCGTCATGTATTGCATTTTGATAACATTGGGTATTAAAGACAACAATACAAACCAGAGAGGTTAAACTGCATGGGCCTTTAAAACTGATTTTTGAAGACTAACAGATTTTTAACACCAACAGTCTGATGATCATAGACTACAGTATCGATTGAGTGAGATGAATATTCTTACGAAAACACGATTATTGAGGACTTTGAGCAAATCCTTTGTACGCAGGATATTGAGATTTTATACCCATCAAAAGCATCCCGACATTCACACATGGATGAAGATGCATATGGAGATATCACGACGTCATATGACCCCCGAGATGCAGCTCTACCTGTTAACATCCAGGTGCGCTTTGTACAATGTACCCGCATCCTCAGATGAGTCTGTAGACAATACGTGGAATGATCCTTATTGGATGTTTTACTGGCCCGGAGGACAAGTTCTATCCAGGTTTGTGACTTTGGTATCATGACAAAAATTATAAACATCTTTGAGGTCTACTCTGGTGTCATAGGATTTGAGCGGTACATGTAACAAGACTATTTAGTGTATATTCCCAAGAAAGATGACACTGTAGTAGACCTGTTTATATAGTCTATCCTCTCTTTAACGATTCGATGCGATTAAACAGACTGTCAGTGGTAGATTAAACATGATTGTATACATAATTTAATGTATTTTTATTACACTTATTTGTGTCATTGCATCTTATACCAGGGGCAGGAATTTGAACTTTCTTCAATTAAAAGCCGAGTGCTATATTATACGATACAGGTGTAAAAGAAATTTTGGTCCCCTGGGGATTATGGTCCACTTTCCTTTCCTTACGGCCCTTACTGGCCCTGACTGTGTATAAATAATAAGGAAATGATTGTAATTAGGTCACCATATAAATCAATAGAGGGTAGGACCAAAATTTGATAGGACCACCTACCCTTTTACACCGGGACAAAACATCTAGGAAGACAAGTCTTGAATACTAATAGTTATATATATGTTCTCCTTTTTGAACACAGATACATTCTGGACAATCCTAAGATATTTGCCACGAAGCGTGTTCTAGACGTAGGAAGTGGCTGTGGCGCAAGTGCTATCGCTGCGGCAATGATGGGAGCTCGTGTGGTTGCAAATGATATAAGTAAAGGTAATAGGTGTTGTCTGTCTGTCTGTAGTTCAATTAATTGGGAGGACGAGGTATGAAGAGGGGGATGGTCGTGAGAAGGAAGTGAAACTGCTTATCGACGCGCCGCATTTTGAATATATCACAAAATGGAGCCACTCGCACCTCGCGTATTAAGATTTTGAAGGGAGGGACAACGTTTTTGGACAACGTTGAAACACTTATCTAGTGCATCCATTGTTGACAACTGAAATCTCAATAATTTGATTGGTTAATGTAGATCCATCGGATAAAAATACGGCCGGCAATATGCCAGCAAGGAGGACTGGCTCTCAGAATTCGTTTCCGATCATGTTCTCGATAGCTCGTTCAGTGCTTTCAAAGCGACTACCAAAGAATGGTTGACGCCGTTGTCGTAAAAAACAGGCTATAAATATAATTATTACATCATTGCTAGAATTCGTGTGATTTGATTGGTTGGTTCAGTACCATGTGATCAAAAATACTATAGCAGTAGCTTATTTCAGTCTATGTTCCTGCAATAATGTTGTTATTTCGATCATTTTTTTTGTTTTACGACCTTGACGACCCAAGATCTTTGAAAGAAATCTTTATATAATTAACTATTTGCTAAATTTTAATTTTAGATGCAGTTGAAGCAACAAAAGTGAATGCCGCCTTGAACAATGTATCCGTCGACACTTCAACTAAAGACTTTATAGGAGAAACCGACATTGACGTTGATATTGTGTTCCTTGGTGATATGTTTTACGATCAAGAATTTACTAACATTGTATATGATTGGATAACGCATCTTTCAAGAAATGGTACACGCATTCTGATTGGTGATCCGGGTAGAGTACATCTGCTGTGCCATCCAATCATGGACAAGTTACACGTTTTGCAAGAATATGAAATTCCTTTGGAGCATCAAGAAACAGGGTTTGGACTCACAAATGGCGTCGTATGGACATTTAGTCCAGAATGATTGGTGGTGATTCATAAATTGATGCAGTTCCGCCATCCGCCCATGGGCATTAAGCTAAAACATCTTTGAAATCATATGTCGGGGACTTTTTCGATATTTCTATATCATATTACTGTCCATTCGAATTACATCGTTCCATTATTCTGTGTAGAACTATTTCTCAAAAAATTACTGCTTGCAGTGACCTCTATTTAACTTCTATCAATATGAACGATTACGATTGGCTAATCAATCCACCTTGGGGTCATTATAAACTCATCAAAGGTAGCTTCTTATCTTTTTTAATTTACCATTAAATATATAAAGAAGCTGTGAAGTGATTTCTCGTATTGTAGTGTACTATTTAATGCAAATATAAAATGTGTACATGCTTTGTCCATATGAAAATATAAATAAAGAGATTCTAAACTAATAATATTATGCTTTTATATGATACAATGTCGTGATGCAGTGAATCGAAACTAAAAATACAAATTAAATTGAACGATAAATTTATCATTGCCTTGTATATATGTATACAATCAATATTAATCTTATGTTCTCTGTTTACACGATATTCAACTTGAATATTGAAATAGTTCGAGATTTATTTTTATCTTGTGAATTCTAACTATAATATAAAGTAGACAGATTCTGATATACCGCTTTGACTTGAAACATCTACAGAAGAGCTAAGGCAAACGAAACATTAGAATGGAGATTTGTATGGGGGTCGTGTATTATTTGGACACGCGGCCAATAATCATTTCTTTTGACTGGAAATTACATGGTTAACATTACCTCCCCCCAAAAATCTTATCAATAAACTTAATATGCCGCCATTATGTTTTTATACGAGAAGCGTTTCGCCATCTTTTAAGATTCAACCATAGAGTTCCCATGATAAAACCAGGTTAACCTTTTCAGCATATTTTTGTTCAGCAAACTTTGATATCTTCAAAATTTGATCTTTAAAAAATTTATAACTCGTGGTGCAATCAATTCTTTCAATTGAAACGGAAACAATAATATCCTTTTTTGGAGAAATAAGTCCTGCATATTGAAAAGCAATATCAAGAAACAATTTTACGAATATCGGAGAATAATTGATTATTTTTTTCAATAATTTTTGTATTTGGTATTCCGGTGTTAAAGAAATTATGGTCCCCTGGGGATTATGGTCCCCTTTCCTTACAGCCCTGACTGTGTATGAATAATAATGAAAATAATTGTAATTAGGTCACCATATAAATCAATAGAGAGTAGTACCAAACTTTGAAAGGACCACCTACCCTTTTACACAGGAAGATTGTCATGGAGTAAAACGTACGCATCATTTCAATATTTTTTTAAAGAACACTAAACTACATGTACACGTATTGCAACATCGAATGAATTAACAGTTTCTATAATGTCCATACTGCTGGTAAGTACAAGGTGAATCAATCATTCAATGAAACGGAAAATAAATAATATACTATACACATTATTTAGTTTACAAACAAGAATACAGTGGCATATACGTAAATCGCCACTGTACGAATATTAGAAATAAGATGAAGCGTTTAAGATTACTGTTTTCCATGTGTTTACTTATGTTTTGTACATTTTTGATGGACGCCAATGCTGCTAGAGAAACTTCAAATCCTGGGATGACACCCGACTCGAGTAAGTAAACTTAATCTTAAAGCTATTATTTAATTTGAACACCCTCCGGAGAGCTTTTTCCACCTTGGTAACTAAACAGTAAAAAAAACGTTTGGCTATTTGATGACCCCACGTGGTCAAGATCATAAGCATTTATTAATGATTTGTTGAATAATTTTGACTTCTAATTTACGAAATAAACATCCTCCGATCACAGGGCTTCAAGATCCACAATATCATCTTTAATAAGAAGGTACGGATTCTGGACACCTGATTAGGAGGATGTGAAATATAGGGCACATTTCAAAAGTGATAAAAGTACAAATATATTATTGAGAGATATAACCCCAAAGATATACCTACGTATATAAATTAAAAGGCCTATGATAAGTTTATAATGATATGTAAAATAAATTTTTCTTGAGTCAATCTTTTTGCCAACTTTTGACAAATATACGCCCAATAAAAACGGCTAAAACCCCGGATGCCGAAATTCACGCTAATATTCCCGACACAGCATTAGGGCACATAGGGCACATTCCATATTACAGTACATAACTTTCGAAAGAATGATACAGACTCGTATATTTCAAGTTAAAATGTGATAAATAAGATACTTTTACCAGCTTTTTCACATCTTTGGAATACAAACTTAAAAATAAAAAATTTGCACCACTGAAGCCAGTAAGCCACCCCCGAACCAGCTCAATCCATGAAACACAAACTGGTTTTATTTCAGCATGCTCTGGTAAGCGGGAAAAATATCTGGCAGATTATTCACCGGAAGATCCAGTAGATAAAGTCCACTGTGACTATTACAAATGCAGTAGGGCTAACAAGTATGTGAAGGAGACATGTCCGGAGAATCAAGCAGTGAGTAAATTAGCACTAGAAAGAGCTGCAGCAACCAAAGCTCAAAGTGTACACCCGTGTGTAGATCAACCCGGGGCGTGTTTGGCTGGTGCGCCACAAGGCAGAATGGGAATCATTGAACCAATTGGTGGCGGTAAGATTTTCTTTTTATTCTCTGTTACCCTAGTTGAGGAGTCCTCGCCTTCATTCATTGCTATTAACCAGAGATTTACTCGTAGCATATCCTTTTTATATCCATCCCATTGATTTTTTAAACTTCTCCGTTTCTTTAATGGCTCTCAGGTAATGTATAACCTGGTGTGATTAACCCTGAACTGTAATGTCAGTTTCAATTGTTCTGGTTTCACAAGTTCTTCCATTTCATCATTTATATTACCATTTTCTCACGTGTGATTGGAATGCCCTTCTCCCTACCTCCTAGTCTTACCCTATTTAAAGAGAGCTAAATCTTCCTAAACTTCCCCCTTTTCATCCTTGTAGGCAAATTTTGACCCCATAACCTTTCTCGTCCTGAACTCCCATCTTCTGAACGACACTTTGACTGTTTGCAATCTGATTTTCGACGCCGTTTCGGTGTCAAATTTCGGTGCCGTTTCGGCACCAAATGGACTGACTAGTCTGGTAGCAAATTTTGGTGTCAAAAGTTTTCGGTGCCGGAACGGTGTCGAAACGGTGCCGGAACAGTGCCGAATTTTTTCGATGCCGAAACGGCGTCGAATTATATTGGCTGTGTACACAGAACAAAATTAGCACAGAAGTAGAATTGATAGTTTTTAAAAATGTAGGACTTATTTCTTCAAAAAGGATAATATTTTTTTTACGTTTCAGTTGAAAGAATATTGATTGCAACACGAGCAGTCTATAACTTCTTCAAAAATAGAATGGTTCTGAATTAAGTCAAATTTTTGAAGGTATCAACATATGCTAAAAAAGGTTAACATGAGTTTATCCTATGGAAAAATGGGATATGTGGTGTATTTTTTTGGGGGGGGGGATTGAAATCATGCTTGACCATAATTCCTTGCTTGACCATCAATTCTACATCGCTGGAACCATTTCTCAAAGTACCCGTTCCGTTCCACATTTCAGATTTGTTGGACTCTGATCCATCGAATGATCCACCGGCTGGATGTGATGCTGAGATCATATGGGTGATGTCTGACCTTTGCCCAATCGATATAGAGAGAAAGCTTGATGCTGTCGACCTTGTGCGAGATATCACGCAAAACGTGGATTTCACCTCAGCTTTAAGCGCCATGGACCGGTTCTGGAATTGTTATTTTTCCTTGGATGATGCAACTATTGAACTGAACAATAGGTTCGACTTTGGAAGTTACCAGTACTTTTACTCCAGCAAAGAACCATTTCCTGATGTATTAGTCGTAGTCACTGACGATGTTCAATTGCAAGGCTCATCAAATCTCACGGGACTTGGTGTGATAGCGTACGCTGTGGGCTTTCCCCCTGGAGTATATGACAAATATAATGAGGCTCAACTTTTGGAATGGGCTGGCGTTGCAGGGACATCTGATGTATTTGTGGTTTCAGATCTCCAGCAAATGAATGATATAATCTGGCGTCTTGGGGAAATGGCATGGCTGTAAGTATGGCCCCCTCCCTCTTCACAGACCAGGTGTGAATGTTGTCTCCCGGGATTAACGATCCTTCTAGCTTACCTGAGTATGAATATAAACTTAACTAGAAGATTTTTTTTAAAATTTACAATGGCTTTAAATTATATTACTTTCTCAGTTACTGTAATAGATTCTTATCAAGAGCCTAATTGGATCTCTATTGAACGGGACCCTAATTCTTCAAATTAAAGGACAATAACACCGAGGAACTGTAATTTATCATATGGATATCAACTATTCGGGTCGAAAGGAACTAACGATAATTCCAAGAGAGCTGTACTAATTTCTCATGTGGATGGGGACTATATTTCAAAGGGGACTGGCATTTCTCGTATGGAAGGGAACTTTAATAACAAGGGGGCTGTAATTTCCCATGTTAAAGGGGACCTTTATTCCAAGGGGACTGTAATTCCAAGTGATTGTAATTTCCCATGTCGAAATGGACTATATTTCCAAGGGACCGCAATTTCCCATATGGAAGGGGATTGTAATACCGAGGAGACTGCGATTCCTCATATGAACATGAATTACAATGTCAAGTGGGCTGTAATTCAATATATATCGGTCTCTTGAATTATAATCATATGGTACATCTATTCCTGCTTCGTTGGTCAACTATTTTCTCGTCTTTTGCTTGATATTGAATGACATAAAAAGGGGTCAATCATAATTAGTCGTTTTTAAAAACATAACAGTAAACATAAAATCATTATTATTGAACTTGAAACGCTAGGAAATGGGATAAATAAAATTAAACATGAATTCAAATTAGAATGTTGATATATTGTTGATATCGATAAAATGTTTATATACGGTATGTGACGTTTACCTAGATTAAACAAATACATTTTATGGATGCGCACAAGTACAAGTATATTGTATTTTTATATTTCAGAGATTTGTTCTATTGAGGCTAATATGCAAAATATACTAACAGGATCTGCAGTAACGATTACATACACATGGATACATAAATTAAAGCACATTCGCTGGAGAAAGTAACACGTCTGTAACGCGTGCTTTTTTAGTTTTGTTGTACTCTTTATTTTCAAATAAATATTATTATACTATAGGAGGTAGCTCGAGCTCTTGATTTTGTTATAGCTGATCGCACTAATATTTGTAATGTGATTTTTATGCCATTTTGTTACAGAAGCCGATCGCCGAATTATAACGTCAACTACGAACACCGTCCACAAAAGTATTGGTGACATAGAATTCTTTTTAATATTATTATACTATACAGGGTAGCTCTTGATTTTGTTACAGCCGATCGTTCTTATATTTGTAATGTCTTTTTATGTCACTACCTGCCATTTGTTACAGACGCCGAACGTCAACAGCGAACACCGTCCAAAAAGTGGCGGTGACATAAAACTTCTCAACCAGGAACTTGCCCCATGGGTTGAGTGGTTTTCAATGTTTCCTATTAAACTATTATGTATTAATCACGCAATGAATCGGAAAATAAACAATAAACATAGAACAATAATATTATACTATTATAGCTAACAAGTAGACACAAAGTAACTTTTATCATTGCGCATAATATCAAACATAAGATGGAGCGTTTCAGATCAATGCTATCCATATGCGCACTTTTGGCTTGTATATATTTGGTGAAAGCAGGAGGGAAAAAAGAAACGTCAAAATCTGGACAGACCCCAACTTCGTGTAAGTAAATATGTCCTTTTGATGCTTACTTACTGTATACAGTACATCGAATTGTCAGATTTTTAAAATGGCGGACATTTTCTTGATAGGCCACTTTGATAATTTGCACCCAAGGTTGTTTCTATGTACGATTTGAATCTTTCCAAGATACAAATTATAGACAATTTTTTTAACAAATACATATATTGCAGCCATGTTGAAACCCTTTTTCAAATTTTGAGAAGGTACCAAGTCTATAAAGGCTAATTTGAACCAAAATCACGGTCAGACAAACAAATGATCTGGAATGACGGTTTCCGTATGCACTCAAACATTAATTCGGAACTGAACTCAGATCACGTAATTTGTCTTGTCTGTATCTGTCGATAGTTCCCAAATATTAATCAATTCAATTGTATTATACACCCACGGGGGTGTCAAAGCCCGCATACTTTTGGAATTTTGTAATGAAAAATGAAATAAAATTATTTTGAAATTGAATTGAAATTGAATTCGAAACGGCTAAATGTAGCTTGTCATTCTATAAACTCTCATTGTGCGTGAATTCATTTTAGCGTGCTCTGGCAAGAGCGAAAAATACTTAGCAGATTATTCACCGACGGATCCAGTAAACAAAACCCATTGTGACTATTACATATGCAATAGAAAGAAAGGGAAATATGTAAAGGAGACATGTCCAGAGAATCAAGCAGTGAGTAAATTAGCATTAGAAAGAGCTGCAGCAACCAAAGCTCAAAGTGTACAACCGTGTGTGAATCAACCGGGGGCCTGTTTGGCTGGTGAACCCAAAGGCACTACAGATGAAGGGATGGGTGGTAAGAAATACGTTACATTCTCATCCAGTAGTTCACTAGTATAACTGACTAGTCGATGATCCCATTGAATATCGTATGATCCCATATACTCCATCGAGGGAGCTTAGTGTTCATCTTCTGATTTTGGCATTAAATCATTTCTACTCTTGAAATGTTCAATATTCATATATGCTTTTTCATATGCGCACTTTTGACTTGGTGGAAGCAGGAGGGAAAAAAGAAACATCAAAATCTGGGCAGACCCCAACGTCGTGTAAGTAAGCGTTCCGTATGGATGATAAAATATATGTGGTAATACTTCTGCCATGCGTTGTCAAATTCGTGTTCGACTGGATATGGCCGGATAATCGATAATCTCTTAATCGTATTTCGACGGACTAACGAACTGACGAACGAACTGGAATGACAATTTCTCGATGTCAAAACATGAACTTCGTTTGGTGGAACATTTCAACTAGCAAGCCAACAGCAATTGAAGTTTGAACTAATTCACAGTATAATCACATGACTTGTCTGAGTCCATCTGTACCTTTCAGATACTCTAGATATTTTATTTCTCAATTTCTGACAGATCTAGTCGTTTCATAAAATATTTGAGTTCGTGGTTTCATTTCAGCATGCACTGGCAAGCGAGAAAAATACTTAGCAGATTATTCACCGACGGATCCAGTAAACAAAACCCATTGTGACTATTACGTATGCAATAAAAAGAAAGGGAAATATGTAAAGGAGACATGTCCAGAGAATCAAGCAGTGAGTAAATTAGCATTAGAAAGAGCTGCAGCAACCAAAGCTCAAAGTGTACACCCGTGTGTGAATCAACCCGGGGCGTGTATGGCTGGTGAACCCAAAGGCACTATAGATGTAGATGAAGGGGATGGTGGTAAGGAATACGACACATTCTCACCCAGTAACACAAGCGTAAATGACCGATCGGTGATCCCTCTTGACATGGTATGATTAGATCACATCCCGGGGATCACATGTACTCCATCGAAGGGGAGTTCAGTGTAAATGTTTTATCCGACTTTTTTTGTAAAACATATGTATTTTTAAGTGATTAATATTCACATATGCATGCTTTCCATGTGCGCACTTTTGACTTGGTGGAAGCAGGAGGGAAAAAAGAAACGTCAAAATCTGGGCAGACTCCAACGTCGTGTAAGTAAATGTAAATAGTATGGATGCTAAAAATATGTGTGGAGATACATTTGGTATGCGTTGTTAAAATCGTGTTAGACTTTTCAATGTCCAAACATAAACTTCGTTTGGTGGAACAACTAGAAAGCCAATGGCAATTGAACTCTGAGCTAATTCACATTATGATCACATAATTTGACTGTCTGCATCAATCTGTACTTTTCAGATGTTCTAGAACTGTAGATGGTTTATTTCATTTATGTATCTATTCATTTTCATTTTTTTGGCCATTCCAAAAATATCTGATTTCATGGATTCATTTCAGCATGCACTGGCAAGCGGGAAAAATACTTAGCAGATTATTCACCGACGGATCCAATAAACAAAACCCATTGTGACTATTACGTATGCAATAGAAAGAAAGGGAAATATGTGAAGGAGACATGTCCAGAGAATCAAGCAGTGAGTAAATTAGCATTAGAAAGAGCTGCAGCAACCAAAGCTCAAAGTGTACACCCGTGTGTTGATCAACCGGGGGCGTGTTTGCCTAATGAGCCCCGGGGCAGGATGGGAATCATTCTGCCTATAGATGAGGGGGAGGGAGGTAAGATAATAGGCTAAAGCTACACATTTTTAGGAGAATGTGTACTATCCCCTGGGAATACCGTTCCCGCTTGTTTCAAGGGACCAAATTACAAATATTCCATCTATATTTTGTTGTGACGTTCTTTAGTGTAAATTTTTCTTGAGAAATGTAGTCCCTTCATAGTTCAAATTTTTCACCGTTTTCATATTTCAAAAGGAGCCTATGTGAAGTGACTTAGCCAAGACAACACATAATATTGATAAAAAATCTAAAAATAATATACACGAAATAACGACACTATCCGGAAGACAGATTTCTATAATGTGTTTGATTATATAACATATTAAATATACCATCTCGGCCACACGCTCATGCATGACACAAAGAATCATCAAGGTGCAACAAAAAAGAAAGACCAAACATCTTTCCACATACAGATGAGATCTATATGATGAGACACTGAGTAGGCCTTTTTTCATGCAGCGCATTTGACCTGTTGACTCTCCATGTTGTTTCTTGTTAATTCTGTATTTCAGAATCCGATTCGCTAAAATCTATCACATCGCCTGAATGTGACGCTGACATTTTATGGGTGATGTCAGACGCCTGCCCGTTAGAAATCACCGTAAAACAAGACGCTATCAACCTAGTTCGAGACATCACGCAAAATATAGATTTCACCTCAGCTCAGAGTAACATTGACCCCTTCTTGGGATGCTACTTATCATTAGATGATACAATCACAGCTCTAAAGGAAAGATTCGACACGGGAAACCAATATGGAGGTTTTCAGTCTCCGTATTCCTACTACGATCAAAAAGAGCCCTTTCCGGATGTTTTGGTTGTGGTCACCGATGACGTAGAATTTCGAGGTTCGGCGGATCTCACAGGAAGAGGGGTGATAGCATACGCTATAGGCTTCCCCCAAGGATTGTATAATACAGAGGATAATAACCAGCTGTTGGAATGGGCAAGCAAGGCTGGGACAAATAATATATTCCCCGTTGACAACTTCCAGCAATTAGATGATATAATCTGGGGGCTCGGCTTTATGGCTTTGCAGTATGTACGATTATTGCCAAAACCTCAGTCATATTTGCTTTACGGCGACCGTATGTAAACCGTGGATACCTAAAATTACTAAATGCCTATACGGCAACCATAACTCGGAAATTATAACTCGAATTATAACCTTTTTAATTCAACGATTATGTAGCCAAACCAAACGTAGAACGGTTCACGTTAGCGTTACGTTGGTCGTACGGTTGTCTTGCGGCTACCCTAGGGTGTTATACAGGTACATGAACATGATGAAGGTTACAATTGAGCTTGGCGAACCGCATTTTAGATTCGCCACAGGCCATTGGCATGTGTCCAAAACAACTGCGTTCGCCGTAGGAACGCCCTACGGTAGTTGCCTTGTCTCATCAAATTCAAAATACGCTGTATGGCTTCCGTAGCGAATCTGAATGTTAAAGTATTGGACAGCAGCATTTCCTAGACAACCCTAGAATTGCTATTGGCCGTGCGGTCGTCCTGCCGGAGCACATGTGACTGAGGCTGAACTGGTCCTGTGAATTATCTTATTAAAATCAAGATTCCATCACAAGGTACCCATGGGTAATATCAACGACCGATCGTGAGCTCGCGGTATCAAGAATAACCATATTATGAACAACTTCCTATGACGAAAATATTATAGAAGGTTCCGTATTGTGACGCCTCTCTGAAATGATCAGGGTGTGAATACAAATCGTGGTACATGTTTATACTTTTTTTCATTCCAGATCTCTGCCCTGATGACCAACGAACAGAATATTTCACAAGTCCCGTGTTTGAGCATACATAGTATGATATAAAGAATGACAATGTACAGTACATGGTGTAACTTGTAATTTTATGGATGAAATTATTGTGTAACACGACTGGACTAGAATTTCTTTAAATAAACACGACACTTAATTTCATTTTATATGTTACACTGTTATCAAATAGACTGAATGACTGTTAATGAATATAGTACATGTATTCAACATAAGACTATGGAAGTTTGGAGACTTGAGACGAGATTAACATATAAAGTGGCCAGTATAACGTTTTACCATCTCATTACCCTACTATCACACCAAACTAGTTCTCGCTACGTTCTCAAAAACGGGCTTCAACTGTGTACGAGCGGACTGAACCTACTAAGAACCGTTTGGGATCTATTTACAAACTTCATCGAACGTACTCGAACGGGTAGGTCCTCTAGAACTTAGACAATGCTCAAAATGTTCTCGTGGTCGTCACGTTGTACAATTAGAACAGTGACAACGTACTAACGACGAGCTGGACGTACTACGAACGGAACCGTCGTACTTCAATCCTACTAGGGACGTTTTAACAACGAGTTGAACTGTCTGAGAACGTGTTGAGAACGAGGTAGAACTAATTGCAAACGGGTTTAAACTGATTAAGAACGTATTTGACACTGCTTATGAACGAGTTAACAAAAATATAGCTATCACACCAAACAAGTTGCCATTGCATTCTTCAAAACTGGTTTTAAACTGTGTGCGAACGGAATGAACGTAGCTGCAACTTTCTAAGGTCTATTTACGAACTTTATGAACGTTCTCAGACGGGAATAAGATTTTGGAATTTTGAATCGATCCAAAATTCGATGGCGACCATACCGTTCTGTAATCAGGTCATGTTGACCTTCTAGACTAAGGGACGCGTTCAAGGACATTGCACACCGACGTGGTGCGACCTGAACCAACTGCGAACGAGATGGACGTATTGAAGACTGTTTAAGAACGAAGAAGCTAATTATTTCAGACATATTTCCCGACCACAGCCAGATTGAGCCCGTTTTACGACGTTTTCGTATGACTGGCAAGAACGGGTAAGAACTAGTTTGGTGTGATAGGGGGGTTAACGACCAGGATCCAGGCTAAGTGCAGCATGCCACTGTAGTAATTTTCATAGGCAAAGGTCGATAGAAAAAGGGGGCTTATGGTTGCCAAACTTATGGAGGGGAGTGTATGTGTGAGGAGGCAAAACTGCAATGAACGTCTGGATTTTTCAGATGACCTTGACCTATAAATGTGATGTGACATTTACATATCACAGTAAGATAAACTTATGAAGACTTTATATCAGTTGGCCAATACTGTATTGTATCTTTAATATGAATAGGTTATACAGTATAAGTGATAAGTGTTTACCTTAATAACCACTGGTAAAATAATCCTCCTTTAAAAGCAATACAGGAATAAATATGAAATAAATATAAAATTCCATTGCACTATATGTACAAAGCTTGTTAAAGTAACATTGATTAATGTTCTTTTTTAAATTATGTACAGTTCCCTTTGAGAGAAATGTTTTTATTTCATTTGCGTTCCTATTTCTTTTTATATTATCATATCGTCCCAATGCACAATGTATGTTTAGTGAATACAACACCTAATATTACAGTCTTTAGTGTTCATAAGAGGTGCTTCTAGATCTCTATACATGTACCACTGAGGCTTCACTTACATGTATGTTCCCAATTCTTCATGTATTTCTTAACTATGCCAATATATGTTAAGTGAATGATAGCCACCTTGTATATATACAGTTCACTAGAATTAGAAAGATGTTTCCTATTCAAAGGAAAATGGCATTTGCATTCCCAAACCAACATGTATTGGCGTAATATGCTAGATCCCCTTTGTTCGTGTTCTGTGGTCCTATTCAAAAAACGTGGCGTTTATGTTTCCAAATCAACTTATAACTGTAATGTACCAAATCACCTTTGTGCATGTTCTGTGCTTACTCCACCTAATTCTAATAGCTGTTTATCAGGGTTGTCTCTCCAGTCTTCAAGCTTCAACTGAAATTAAACATACACATGTCTGTCAGTGTTTTTGTAACCATATATCAGAATATAGAATATCTAAGTAACCCTTCAACCAGAGAGAAATGAAGGTAATGGAGCTACACAGAATTATGTTGTTGTAAACTTATAAAATAATTGCTAATAAGTTTTTATGTCATGGGTTTAAGTGTGTGAACATTATAACAAGTGTATTCCAATAGTTGTTTCTAAGTGCTATATGCCTGGGCTATATGTTTAGCTTTCTTTGACCATGTTTCAATGGTAACTTATAACCAACAAATCATTGAAGTGTCTACAGTGCTGGCCTATCTTTAAACATGTTTCAATGGTTACTATTACAAACAACACATTAATAGATGCAAAATGTCACCACCTGCCATATGTTACAGATGCAGATCGCCAAACACCAACCGCCATCCACAGAAAAATTGGAGTCTATAACAACATGTCACCACTTCTTGTGGTGACATAATAAACTATCAAAGCATGTGGACTGCTCACTTTTCCTTGAGCATGTTTCAATGGTTACTATTACAATAAATTATTAAAGCATGTGCTTTGCTCACCTTTCTTTGAGCATGTTTCTGTGCCTCCTTTCTTTCCCATTGTTTCTGTTTCTCCTGATCTCCTCTTACATCATTACCTCCGCAGCCCCACACCTGGAAGACATTATAATGGCAATATCAAACAGTGTGTAATTATATCTCATATGTTAAATGCAAAGGTCTACACATAAGAACTGATTTTGTTAAGTGGGTGGTGATACAGAACTATAAAACAAACAGCTTTGGTGGGTGAAAAGCGTTATTTAACAATAAGGGATTCCAAGCGATTGCTCCATGGCCGAACTGATAGTCTATGGCTAAAAATGTATTATCTGAATAAATTACCTCAATACTGTAGTTTGTATTGCATACCATAATGTGTGACTGTAGTAAAGTCTATATCTATGACTAGTATATCTTACCTCAATACAGTATAGTTTATATTGCACACCATAATAGGTGACTGTAGTAAAGTCTGTATCTATGACTAGTATATCTTACCTCAATACTGTATAGTTTATATTGCACACCATAATAGGTGACTGTAGTAAAGTCTGTATCTATGACTAGTATATCTTACCTCAATACTGTACAGTTTATATTGCACACCATAATAGGTGACTGTAGTAAAGTCTGTATCTATGACTAGTATATCTTACCTCAATATTGTATAGTTTATATTGCACACCATAATAGGTGACTGTAGTAAAGTCTGTATCTATGACTAGTATATCTTACCTCAATACTATATAGTTTATATTGCACACCATAATAGGTGACTGTAGTAAAGTCTTTATCTATGACTAGTATATCTTACCCCAATATTGTATAGTTTATATTGCACACCATAATAGGTGACTATAGTAAAGTCTGTATCTATAACTAGTATATCTTACCTCAATACTGTACAGTTTATATTGCACACCATAACAGGTGACTGTAGTAAAGTCTGTATCTATGACTAGTATATCTTACCTCAATACTGTACAGTTTATATTGCACACCATAATAGGTGACTGTAGTAAAGTCTGTATTTATGACTAGTATATCTTACCTCAATACTGTACAGTTTATATTGCACACCATAATAGGTGACTGTAGTAAAGTCTGTATCTATGACTAGTATATCTTACCTCAATATTGTATAGTTTATATTGCACACCATAATAGGTGACTGTAGTAAAGTCTGTATCTATGACTAGAACGAGAGATTTAGAGTCACAACCCACTTGGATGCATCTTGGTAAGTTACGATTATTTTGGTTATAGTACATCAGACCTGCACCAGCTGAAAATATCAAGAAACATTAATTTCTTATAGACTTACACAGCCAATATAATTCTGCGCCGTTTCGGCATCGAAAAGATTCGGCGCTGTTCCGGAACCATTTCAGCACCGTTCCGGCACCAAAACCTTTCGATACCAAAATTTGCCACCGGACTAGTCAGTCCATTTGGTGCCGAAACGGCACTGAAATTTGGCACCGAAAAGGCGTCGAAAATCAGATGTATTTTGGGGGTGTATTAGGATATGGGTACAAATCCAGACCCCATTATGCTGTTAAATTGCTTGAAGGTTGAAAACATCTTTGAAATCATAGTTTAAAATATACAGCTTCACTTTCAGGATGATTGACTAACTCATTTGGAAGATTTGGAAGATGAACTAACTTATGATGATTTTACTTGTGGACACAAAACTACCAAATAATATTTATAAAACAAAAACTGATACCTTTCATGAATCTAAACTGTGGCTGCAGCTGAATCAATGTGGAAGTCTCCTTACCCCATCTGTTACTCCCTTCCCTGGAACAATACAAGTATTAACCTACAGGCCAACATATCATACTTCATGAAATATACATGTAATCAATGTGGAAGTCTCCTGACCCCATCTGCTACTCCCTTCCCTGGAACAATACAAGTATGAACCTACAGGCCAACATATCATACCTCATGAAATATACATGTAAACAATGTGGAAGTCTCCTTACCCCATCTGAGAAAAATTTGTTCAATTTAACATATGTATAAAATATATGTAACTGTGACATTATATTCTTGCTTAAAGGCCCACTCTGCATATTTTCAATGTTTTGGGGCAAAATAAAGGCTTTAATTTGAATTCTATAGAATGTCCAATGTACTGATAAGAACCTTATTTTTCATTTGACACCAATAGCTCAAACAGACCACATCAAAGCTTTCAATAATTAATCAAAAAATATTTTCAAATAACTTCAAATGCTTTTTTCTGTGTGAAATATTTTTTATTGGTTCAATATTAAACAAAATCAAACTTTGTTTCATATTTGGGCGAGTGCGAGTAATATGTTTCAATGATATTTTTTTCTTTTTTCTTCTAAATTAAGTATACTGGGCCTTTAACCTCTTGAATCCCAGGCTCTAAAATTGGCATGAAACCAGAGAATTTTTCATTTTTTGCCACCTTTTGACATTTTATTACATACCTATACAACTTAAGATGCTCAGCTTAGTAAAATTGGACGACAGAGATCATTTCTACACGTTTTAAAACATTTTTTGTGTAAATTGGATGAAAATTGTTCAAATGAGAGCAATTTTTGTGAAAAATTTTGTGACGGATTTTCTCGTCCCTCTGGGCACCAGTCTTATTTCATTTGGGACGGATATATCCGTCACTCTGGGTATTCAAGAGGTTAAAGAGAGAATCAGAGATAGCGAGCAGGCTAAACAAAAAATTGTTTCAATTTTAGAATATTTTTGGCTCATGTCATTCCTTGTCATATCTATTTTCTAAAAATCACAAAAGTGCATACTTTATTCAAGGAAAACTAAAGATTTTTACAATAATGTATTATTTTTCTATAAGAATGGTTACCATTCTTATTATTTGGGAGAATTTAAACATTTTTCACCCATTTTTGCACTTTGAATCATTAATAACTTCACCAATTTATAACATATTGTGAATCTTTTTGGAGATATTGTATTTGATATTGTAAGGAATAGATTGGTAGGTCAATTATGCACGTTGCTTGTAATTTTGTCACCCCCTATAGATCTGATTCTGCCTTTAATATAACATTACCACTTTCTGCTGTTGCCTAGCAAATTAATAAGAATCAAAATCCTTGATCTCATCCTGTTTGAATGTGTATTTTGGATGTATAAAACTAACCCTTAAATCAAGTAAGAATAAACTTTTTCATTAACAAACTATTTCAATGTTGAAAGAGTATGGAGATAATGATATGCTTGGGATAATTTAACGTCGAAAACTTTACAGCAATTTTTTGGCTAATCTTAATGTCAATTAATATGATATATACCAAAGAATTCTATCCATATGGTAAACAAAGCCAATTTGTTTAAATTCAAGGTAAAGTCTATATTGTTTAAAAGATTTGATGCACTAGTAGAATTTGAAAACATTTAAATCTAACTCCAACAATGTGTTAAGTTATTCAAATTCCAAATTCAAATTCACATTGAAGAAATCCCAAGACAAGAAGGACATATATGACAACATGGAAATCCACATAAAAGGATTGCAGACACTTTGTAGATTGTGTTGAAGAAAAAATTGAAAAATCAAAACAAATATAAACCTGTAGCATTTGTTACTTTTATATAAGAAGATATATTTCCCTTTTTTAGGAATAGAGTATTATATATACATAATTTTGTTGATCCATAAGTAAGTAGGTTGCCTTTTTGGGGTCACCCTGTACATTTCTTTTCACTTTCCACACTAATCAAAGCCATTCCATGTGAAAATAAATATACAAATGATTCAAATATTTCACAAACAACAAGAAACAAAAATCTTAATTGACATTGATTGACTCATATAAGCACTAGTGCCAAAGGGAAAGGACCAAAAGTTGTAATGGAACTTAGCAAGAAAAGGCAAACTCTAAGTGCATACCAGTCAAGAAAAACAAGAAAAATCTGATTCAAAGACTTTTTGTTATATAGTTATTAGTGAAACTCCAGTCTCAAATTTGAGTTTTGTATCCTATAGTCATAGTCACAATTTAATAATTTTCAAATACATGTTCAGCTTAAATATTGTAGCTTATGTGTTTAAAACCAATTTTGCAAATAAATCTCGGGTGAGACACAGTCTCGCTTTTCATTCCACCACATGTCCATATTTGGATATGTTTTCACTGTATGGTCTTCGTGTAATTTCTTGCACAATGAGCACATGTAACTTCTCCTAAGTTCATAAGTATGGAGAAAATCATAGTCTTTCTTCCACATGAAATATTCATTATACAGTGTATCATTTCCATCCAATAGGTTTAAATAATTAACGAAAGTGTCCAAAGATGTGAAATCAAGTATGTTAATGAACGATTTCTTTGGTAATATCTTAGTGTAGTTGGCACCACCTAGCACAATCGGGATTATGTCTAACTTGAGGACCTTCCATAATTTCTCCGTCACATACTCCACACATAAACTATTTTCGAAGGAGAGATAAAATTTATAGCGAGACTCCAACATTCTGGAACAGTTTGCTTCTGATTTCCGCGGACATTTTAAACTACCACATGCTCCGAAAATATCAACAGGGATATGTTTCTGTAGCTCTCTAACGATGACTTCCCGTTTACTTTGTGTTTTACAATCTGAGACGAACCATGCTATAAGTTTATCCTTTCCCCTAGCAAAATTCTTTGTGAGGTTAAAATCCATTTTCTTCTTTGCAAGTTGCCCGTATGGGTTAAGAATATCGGAATCGGATCTGTATGTTATTGTCCAGTTGAAGACATCGTTGAACTGCTTCGTATTTTTGGGGTTCATAATAGTAGGTGGCTCCTCTGTGTACATAACCCATCTTTGATGAGGAGGGTGATATTTCGGTAGATCCCCATGAGGATAGTGCAATAAATGTGACTTTTGACCAATCAGTTTGCTCTTTTCATATTCAAACTCATACGGATGAATAAGAAGCGCATCCGCTTTATCAAACAGTGATTTGTTAGTAGTTGCGAAACAAGTTTTTGAACACCCCTTAAATGGTCTGTCTCCGGTGCTCTGATAGAAATCAGATACACTGAAAAATGAGGTCCAGTATAGTATAACTTTGGGATTTTCTGTTGTATCTTTATTTTGGGAATGTTTTGACTCAACCAGTTGTTCATCGTTTGTGACTTTATTGAAGATTGTCTTCACAACATTTGACCTTGCATTTGAAGCGACCTTGACCTCAGATAACTTGACCACTCTAGATCCAACTGGAGATTTTCCACGTGGATACTGTGATTTCACATGGTGTAGAATCGGCGCTGATTTTTGCTGTCCAGTAGTAATAACATCCACTTTGTTTCTTCTGGTTGGTTCGTAACTATGGAGATAGACCATCCAATATATATAAAATGTTACTAATATCCCAACGATGCCAGATCTAATGCACTTCATCATGAAAATATAATCCGAATTGTTTCAGTGGAAAATCACAAAGTTTAACCAGTAAAAGTGTTTTATGTTTGTATTCTTCAGTTCTATACTGTCCTATGCTGTATCAGTTTTGTTTTCGATATAGACTTCGAAGTCTCCAACTTTTTTTCTATATACCGTCTTTTTATTTCCTAACTCATTTCCTTATTAGGAATTACTCTAGGCTCTAATATCCAATAGTCTCGCAAAAGAGGTGTTGAAAACAATTTCCACCTCCAGGCCAGGTTGCCTTATAGACCTCGCGTTGCAGATAATTTCATTACCAGACAACACGACACATTTCTTCCAATTAATAAGATTTTTATCACATTCAACAATTTCACTTGTTCACATAGTGGATTCTCCAGAGCATCTTTTATATGCAATTACTCCCTTGGGTACGTTCTCTATTATGAAATAACGTAATTATCGTATTAACAATTAATAATTCATAGACTTTATGACTCCAGAAGGTCTAAATTCCGCAATATCACTCCTATCCACGACAAATATAAATTCTCAATTATAAAAATAAAAAGACACATGATTTCATAATGTTTTCAGTATTTGCAATTTTGAATAACCGTGGAAAATGACTCGTATTCTTGACCTATATATGGAACACAAGGCATGAAAAGATTAGATTTATTAATAACATCCCACAATAGCGTAGAGTGATGTTTATTGATCAGTTGTTTGAAATCCAATATTTATCCAAATTTGCAATGCAGTTGTTCCATGCACCTGTTCAGATCTTATTTAAACATTATTTTACTTGATTTTCAGTTTCACCACATGTTGAAAAGAAATAAACACTCAAATACAGGGTGTCCCAGAACTCATGAGAATTTTTTGAGGGAGATATAAGGCATGGGTAATTTTTCAGTAGAATTCAAACGTCAATTTTGGAAATACAAAAGATATGTGCCTGAAATTTGTGTTGGTTATTCCTCAATGTGATATTTAATAAGTACACTAAAAAAGAAAAATTACCCATGCCTTACATCTCCCTCAAAAAATTCTCATGAGTTCTGGGACACCCTGTATATTGATTGCACTTAACACACTTAATTTGCACTTTTAACCCCTATGGGATGACAGGCAGATGATTACATTCATCAGAATTGTTGTTTAATTAACATATTTTAAGGATTTTTTGGACACTTTAATACAGGCTTTCATTTGACATGTTTGAAAATAAATGGCCTTTCCAAGATGAGCTAATATGCGAGGTCTTGAAAATTGAAGGAGCGGGAGAGGGGGGTATTTTTGGAGCAACCTATTTCATGAATATAATACTAACAGATGCTCCAGGCCAAATTAACTTTTTCAGAGATGTTTTTTTAAATGTGATTTATTTCATAGTAAAATAGAATTATTAAATACACATGTTGCGGCTTTGCAATGGAGCATTACAAAGATGTTAAATGTCTTATCATTGAGCAAGTCAATTGCTTTCACCACTAACAAAATGACTCTGATCTATTTTGAATATAATTGGGTCCAAGTTGACAAGATAGCATTCTGGACAGTATGTAAACTTACTTACTTTTTTACTATGTAAAAGTATTCTTTAATCAATCGAGGGAGCAGCCATTTCCTGACCATATATAAGAGGATAATATCAACTGACACTTAAAGCCAGTTCTTTTTCAGAGAACTGTTAAAAACATCTGGAAATTGATTTTGATAAATAGGGTACATATCACTGTTCCACAGCTGGATGATTCTAACTGCAGTTTCATTCATTATGACTTAGATGGTAGCCAAAATTCTTTCGTTTTCAACAAACTTCCACACCCACACCCGCAATATTAGAGAATTTGAAAGAAGAATTTTGTTTTCGCCATTTATTCACTTCATCCGTTGAATTAAGTCTCCATTTCTCAAGACATAAGTGAAGTTTCCAAAGATGTGCATGTCAACTTTACAACCGCCCACTGGTTTGGGAAAGATATTTTCCCTCTTAAACGCCCATCCCCCTTTGGAAAAAATGTTTTTTTCCCTCTCAATAAAGGCCAATGGGCGTTTATTAAAAGTTCTTTCAAATAAAGGGATGGACAGATGAACTCTTTATCTCTCTTGAACTAATTCTTCAATACAATAACATCTAGTATACACTTATTTACTATATGACTGAAGGCATAAAATCCCATTGAGCATTTTACAAAATTGATTTTCACAACCTACACAAGTGTAGTTCTTAATTAAAGAATTGTCAGAAAACATAGAAATAGAAAATTGGATTTTTTCACTCTATAACATCACACGTGTTGAAAAACATGTTTATCTAGGTCAATAATTTCAAGATAATTCTCCTTTTCGCGGTTTGCTCTTTAAATGAGGAGACACGGAAGTCTTTCCTTATATGGACAAAATATTATGCATGATGCAATTTGCGAGGGGGGGACAAAATCTTACTTCCTTGTTTTTCCCTTATTGGTTAAACATGTAGATTTTGATACCTATTTTTCAATCGTTATGTTCAATTAAAGCTTGGTCCAATTGGATGAAAAAAGTATCATAAACTATTGCTCTCTCATTAAACTTTAAATATCAGATATTTTATCATTGTATTGGCTCACAGCATTGAGAAAACAGGTCAGAAAAGGTCATGTGATCAGTTGACTAGTGGGCTTATTGGAAAAAGCTGGCCTAAGAAGAGGCATCGCTATTATCTAGGTCAATCGGTTCAGTGTCCAAAAGTAAGTCTATAATACTTGTTTCCGATTTTTTGTTGTTGATTATACAAGCTTCTATTGATTACACTCAGTATACTGACCATTATAGTAATGACAAAAAATACTTGCGATGGTGTCATTGTTTTATATAGTTTTCGGGTGTAAAAACAAAATTGTGTAATTAGTTTCACTTTTAAGTACATATTTTCGTACCTTCTCGATTAAAGAGCAAACCACAGAAAGGAGAATTATGTCAAACTCAGATCTAACAGAATTTCTTATGGTTTTGTGGGATTTGAAATAGTTTCTAACTGGAGTACTGGCATTTATATTTTATTTCAATTCTGCAATCAGGGCGAGGATTTACGTGATTTCCTTTTACACTTAGAGAGCGCTATTTCTAATTTTTAATTTAAGCTCTTTTGGATGAAAATTTAAGCCATTTTGGATTAAAGTGTACAATTTTTGTACATAAATATTTCAGTGTTTGTATGCTCCTAATCTTTAAAATTGTCAAAAATGGTTTGAAAGAGTAATATCTCAGTCAGGGAGGTCTCTTTTTAAAGAAAAGTGAGTCCTCCATTTTAGTCTATAGTAACATGAACACTACAAGTTTTAGTGACAAATAGACAGTACCTCTTTATTTAAAACAAGCAAACACACACTTGCAGGAATCAGCAGTAAATATCATAATTGAATAGGACAAAGGGTCTGAGATTCAAAATAAAATATGAACATGTTATCATCTTCTATGGAAATCATTTATATTTGCCATTATACCTTCAACCAGTGTCTCGATTCTTTTTGTTTTTTGGTCAATGGGTTTGAAACTAAAAATGAGCTGGGAAAGCATAATTGCTAAAATGGTGATGTTTTAGTTGTCTAGTTGTCTAAAATGAATTGATTTATGAAAATGGTGTAAACATAAAACAATAGTTTGTAAAAATCAATTTACTGATTTCCCTGTGGAAAAATATCTGATAGATTATTGAACATGAGTGTATAGAAAATTGCCATTTTAATGGAGAAATTTTGTCAAGTAGAATACCATGCAAACTAGTCATTTAAAATGACACGCAAATGTTCCTACTTAAAGTTTCAATGAGACAAGCGTGGCCACTTGGGTCTCCTTGCAAATGTGATTTTTGCGAGCTCAGTGCTATTCAGATTGACAGGAAAATGTTCCTCCTTGGATAAGCAGGCAAATACTGTGCCAATGCTGCCACTTAAGTTAAATTGTATATCTACTATCTATACCTATATCTTTTTTTAGATTCTCTTTTTGGATTCTGTTTTTTCATGTGACTTTAGGAGATTGACACATTAATCAAATAACTCACATTCTAAGCAAAACAATAAGAACATGCTTAGGTTTTATTACAACATAGTATGGCTGAATCTTGATATCTTGTCTGGAATACAGTCGAAATGTTGAGACATGCGCATAGCTCTATTTAGTGATGTTTTCATTTAAAATATGGCGGCCAATCCGATGTCTGACGACCCTTACAAAGAATCTAGGCAGTGTGCATTTTTACAGGGTTCGTACACCTTTTTCAAAATGAAATTCCCTGACATTTCCCTGACATTTCCAGACAGAAAAATAAATTTCCAGATCTAGTTTTGCTTGCATCGCCTCCAAAAAAGTCTCAATAACTGTATCATTTAGAGGTCAATACCTATTATGAAACCTTTAGTACCATTTCTTATGACATATCTTACTTCTACAAGCCGAAACCAAAGGGGGGGGGGGGTAACCCCCGGAAATTTTTTAAAATTTACATAGTATATGGTGCTTTCTAAGCATTTCAAACAATGATTTGTGAATGTTTGTAATGAATCCAAATCACAACTGAAACTTAAAAATGAAACTCCCTTGAAGGGCAATTCACACCTTTTTTGTCGAATACTGATCCGTGTGAATATTATATGTAAAGCAATAACCTGGCATTACTATTGTCTTCTCCATTTTGGGAAAATCTACACCAAAACATGATACCATATTAAAAATTCCTTCTCAAGTAGCGTCACTATAAGACACAGGCCTATGATACCAAATCAAATAATCGGTATTTTTTGTTAGCAACAACCATTTTGAAAATTCCTTATTGTACAGAGTCTTGTGGTCATCAGTACAATTAATCTGAATCAAATCTTACAACTACTATTAGAGCTATCAAAAATTATAATTATTACTGAAAAGTGGTGGCCATATTTGAGAGATTCCTTCTTTAACAGAAATTTCGTGAAAAATGGTGGACATTTTAAATTCAGAGACCATCTTGACCATTTCTTCTTGAGCAGAGGTCCTTTGTCCCTAAGGCATCATCACATTAAATTTGAGCCAAAGTAAAACTTTGGGTTCATCTTTACATGAAGAAAGGTTCTTCTTTTGATTCTGAGTTATTTCCTCCTGTTCCCATAAAAGGGCAAAATCCAAAAACTGTTAATAACATTATCAAAAAATGATGAAAGTGTCTTCTTGAGCAGAGAATAGTTATTTAGAATTTGAACCAAATCTGTCAACTGATATCTGAGTTATCGCCCTGTCAGATGGACAGATGAATAGACTGACGCACAACCAGACTGTCAAACAGACAACTTCTCAACATACATTGTAAATACAGTATTACACTGAAAAGAGTTTCCGAAATCTATTTTGTTTTTCACCTCCCACCCTCCTCGGATTAAAGGAATATTCCTTGCCAGACCCTTTCTCTCTTGATATGGTAGCTATAATCATATGTATAGTTTCCATATTTAGCAAAACATGGGAAAATGTTTTAATATGGTCAATATTGATCATTTAAAAATATAGTGCTTATTTCCAGTAAGCTGCCATCTTTTAAGATTTCTTGCAGGAAGTGATGTCATCAACTCTCAACTTCTATAACCTTGCCAATAACAGTATAGGAAAGTAGCACAAAATCACTTCTAGACAAGTGATCATTACTTTCTGTGCAAAAATATTTTCAGGGCTTGTCAACTTAGAATAAAAGAAGAGATTATCAGAAGGATTAAATAAGATACAAAGTTGAAAAAGAATATTTAGCTGGTTTTGTAATTCTTAATAGCTCCTCACCTAATGCTATATGCAAAGTTGAGAGCCGATGACATCACTTCCTGTGTGAAATTTTAAAAGATGGCAGCTTACTGGAATTGAGCATCACATTTCTAAGTGATCAAATTTGACCATATCAAAACATTTTTGCATGCTTTGCTAAACATGGCAAGCATATATATGGTTATAGCTACCATATGAGGAGAGAGATGGTTTGGCAAGGAATATTCCTTTAACCCCGAAACAAAATATGAAACATACCAGTAATATTTCAATACGCAATAAAGTTTAGTTAAGCTCAGTTTAGTTACCTCCCATTCTAATTATTGAAAAAATTGGATCATATAACTATGCTTGAGGGCTGATGGAAGATCAGAAGCTGAGAAACTGTCATTTTGTTAGATTCACCATAGATTTATCAGAATTTGTAGAAATTTTGAGTGATGGTCCGCCATTTTGATACTATAAATATTCTATGATATAACCATCGACCAATGAAATTAGCCGATCGTGACCTATGACATTGCAATCTTCGTTTCATTCAGAGTAATCGTCTCGTTTCGGCGGGCCAATAAAACTTTGTCGCTTCCAAAGCGATGCATCATGGGAGATATTTATGTAAGTTACCATCTGAACTCTTATCGCGAATTGGAGTATTAACTTTGAATGACCTAAGACTAACTTACTACATGGAAAAGCATAATTGTATATGAACCATTAAGTTTAAGTTTAAGTTTAAGTTTAAGTTTATTCCAATTTTAACATGTTACATATAGTATTCATATACAATCTGACGCAAAGCGTATATTGTAGTTCAAGGATCAAAAGTCAATATTTGTAAATACAATTATTTTAATGAAATGCAGGAATGCAGGAATGCAGGAAAAGTGAGATGGTAGAGTCTGCTAGAGTTACATATAAATTAATAAGTTGATATAATATGATGTTTAAGTGCTGCCTTGAATTTAACTGTACTGACACTGTGCTTAATTTCATTAGGTAGTTTATTATAATACGATGGTCCAATATATTTAAGTGAGTCCCACCCAAACTTAATGCGGTATTTAGGTTGGACTAAAAGGTGTTTAGATCTTGTGTCATGGCCATGTTGGGAAATTTTAAAATAGTCTTTAAAAATGTATACAGGAAAGCCAGATGGTATGTTTAAGCATCTATATACAAATGTAGCAACATTTAAATGATAAATATCAAAAATTGTCAAAATGTTTTCTCTTTTGAATAAAGGGGCAGTGTGCTCTCTAAAATGTGAATTTGTAATTAATCTAATACATTTCTTTTGAATAAGGTGTATTGGTGTAAGTATGTTCTTTTTTACATGACCCCAAATAATATTGCAATAGTTAATTTGAGAAAGGATTAATGAATGATATACTTTAAGCTTAGAGTCATGATCAAGGATGTCTCTTACTTTATAGAGAATGCCTGTTATTCTTGATACCTTATTAGTAATATGCTGAATATGCTTTTTCCAATTTAACTTTTCGTCAATAAATACTCCAAGAAAATTAACACTACATTTACACTTTAATGTATATTAATTATTTGGTTTCAGTATACTGTTCACACTGTTCTTACAAATAGACAGTACCCGATAAAATGTCATTCAATCAACCCTGAAGAAAAGATATCCAATTTGTGGAAACAACTAAATGTTAGATTTTGGATTTCATTGATTTGTCATTGCCCTAAAATGTATTTTGCTGAAACATTATTTTTTCAGCACTACAGAATTCCCTGACATTTCCCTGACATATCTACTGTTTCAAAATTCCCTGACATTTTTGGCCCTTTTTGACCCAATTTTAAATTTCCCTGACATTTCCAGCACCTGGAAAAATAAATCAATTTCCCTGACATTTCCAGGTGTGTACGAACCCTGTTTTACCTCCTGTGAAATAACAAGTGGAATTTAGTAGTTGTTTTGTGTTTTATTATCATTCTGCATCGTAATTCTATGTGATGTGGTGTTGAAATGTCAGCAGAAATACATATCCATACGATAATCGAGTGAATCAGATAACAGATTTTTCGAATACCCGTCTCGTGCTAAGAGTGTAAAAACTTGTATTAACATGCTCATAAGTGCCAACGTGCACATCAATGTCAAGCTAAATCAATGTTGTGTCTAAAACAGGTACCTGATCTACTCAAAACAGCTTGTCATTCACGTTTACACGATTAGCAAACACGGCGAAATGATCTGAATCTTGGAATTTCGTTCGAGAGCTGGAAATGTTTGCTCCGGTCTTCGTCATAAGTGTTCATCAGACTTCACGCATGCTCATGAGAAAAAACCATCAACCAATAACGTTTATAAATCAATTTTGCGCATGCGCCTTACAACGGTAAAGAAATTCGTATTTGTAAACGAACCAATTTGAGATAACCCAATGTCAGTCGGAGAAATCTGACGATCTACGAAAGTCACTTCAAAAAATCAAATGCGGACTGACGGCGTATTCTACTATGTTTGGATCTAAGATTTTCAGTATAGATAAAGTCTTTTATGATCTTTCGAATGAGGTAAGTCTCTAGTTCGAAAGACAATCGTATTAATTTGAATAAAAGTTGAGTTTTGATGAAAAATTTTAACATGCGCAGAAGTCCCATTTTCGTTGTACCATATTGACTGAATAGAGTTCCATTTTATCTGCCCAGATAAGAACACTACTGACATCTTTTATTGCTCACTCTTACTATTCAATCTAACAAAAGGCTTTTGTACCACATCCAAGGAGGATTCGGGCTCCCAGGGTTCCAACTCATGTCATGATTACAAAATTTGAAATTCAATTTCAAGATTTTAAACTGCCGCCATTTTCTTCACTTGAGAACTCTTAATGAGAATTTTGGTCTCATTTTTGAACAAGAAATTCCGTAACACACAAAAAAGTTCGAAATATTGGTTCGAACACTTTGGACTGTAGATAATGAATTTATAGTCAGTTATAATGTCAGAAAATAACGACATTCTGACATTTTCATTGTTGGAAAATATTGAGTTGAATCCCCGATAGCCAATCCTCCTTGTAGCACACATTAACCCCATCTATAGATAACCAACAACTTTAAAATCATTCAATCATCTTCAACACACCAAAAGAACGTCCTTAACTAATAAAAACTAACCTCCATTCCTCATCTACAGCAACTGCAAATGAATGTCCTCCCTCGAATGATATGACAGACACAGTGGGGCCTCTGTATGAAAAGACATGGTTCTGGAAGCGATTCATACTCAGGCCATGATCATTGCTGCTGTAGAGATTGTGCCAGGGAGAAGAGATGGCAGCACCAGCCTGCATGAGAAATACATGGGTCATATTCGTTGTTCTCCCAACAATCAAGAAAACATAGTGAGAAAATTCTCATTTTTTCTATTCCATCTCAAAATCATGTATGCAAAATTTTGTCATTTTAATGATATGGTAATATATTAGTACAATATAAAGTCACTTTACTGATGAACTAGAATTTTAGAGATGAACATTTTGCCTAAAATATCTTGGCAATGGGAATGAAAACATCTAGTATTTTTGGGTTACAAGCTTAAAATTAATATTCCTAACTGGTCAGTATTAGTGGTAGTCTTCCTTATTCTCATATTCAAAATGTCAACTGGATACAGCACCTAATTGCATCATTGCTTGGGAGATTTGAAGATTTTGATTTTACATTGAAGTGTAAAAATTTGTTACGAATGTTGATGACCACCACCAAACTCCATTCACAAAAGAATTTGGCTTTATATCATCATTTCTTTCTGGTGACAAAATGCCATCAGTGAGAGGTAAAACCTGTGTTAGTGGAACACTTTTAGTACCTCTAAAACAAGAACACAAAAATGTACATGTCCTCACCAATGGATAATCCTATATACTGCAAATTTTTCTGAATGTCATTCACAAAAGCGTTGGCTTTTTATCATCATTTCTTTGTGGTAACAAAATGCTATCAGTGAGAGGTGTTTATTTAACTAAAGAATGTATTTACTGTATAGTAAAACCTGTCTAAGTGGAACACTTTTGATACCTCTAAAAAGTGTTCCACTTGGTAGGTGCTCCACTTACAGAGGTTCATTTAACAAAAAGTCAATAGCTTATGGGACAGTGAAAAGTGTTTCACTTATGTAGGTATTCCACTTGGTTTTACTGTATTAACCTGAGCTTGATATTTGTTCCAAATGAAAAATAAATCTAGGTTTTTGAAGGATCTCAGAATATACCAATTTGGCTTACTATGAGGATACTCAGGAACTTACCAAAGGGTTTTGTACATGTGTAACACTTTGTGAGTCGCCTGTAAGGTCAGAGGTCGTATAGGTCAATGGTAGTACACAGGTCAACAACCACAGAGCACCAAGATCTAGGATACATGTTCCATTCATCAATCTTTCTATGTCACTTGACACTTCAATGGGGGGCTACAATTGTAAAATACATGTGTATACTTTCAAAAACAAGAAGGATCATTGACAAATCTGTCAACAGCAAAGCCTAAGCAAAAAAGATATTATAGTCCATAAAGTATCTTTACACTTTACATAGACTTTGTATTGTTATTGTAAAGATACTTTTTGGACACCCTGTACTTCAATAGGACATGATTTTAGTAGTCTTAAGCATTAGAAAACATCCAAAAAGATTTTCTGTAAAATTTTGTTGGGATCATGAGTAAAGAAGGGTCGGGTCCGGGCTGGGTGAGTTAACCACGGTTATTTGGCCAACAGGCCGGGCTAAGCCGTCATATCACCCTGACCCGAGTCACATATGGGTCAGACTCCGATCTAACCCGAAAGATTAAACCCGACTCGAACCGACCAAACCCTCTTATAATGAGCCTCAGCTGCCTCACTTTGCCCATGCTTTAATTATTAACCTCAATTTGCCTCACCAATTTCAAGATCCTAACTTGTTATTGCACTTTACAGCATGTATTTCTCTTACCTGTACCTCACCAAGTAACAGCTGTGAAGTGAAGCAATGTACACCTGATAACAACCTTGGAAAATGACGACTACAATATCTCGTGAAATCATCTAAACTTATTTCTGATCCTGTAGAGACCTGAAATTATAACAATTTCATTGCTATTCTATTTGGTAAAACACCACTGCATGTACTTCACAAATTCTTGTTTTGTTATGAAGTAATAATATGTAAGAATTTATTGAATTGGAACTAATTTGACTCTTTGAGTGCAACTATTACAGTTTGCTTAAAATGGATATTGGAAATTATGTTTTGGGTTGGTATGTCTTTAGTTTTCACTTGTATGGTCGATTTTGTAACTTTCCTATTTTGTATTTTTTCTGAATAGTTATTTCGCTTTTATAGGATGGTTAGAGTGGACAATCGCTTTTACAATAATTTTTCAATTTAATGTTGAGATCTCACAATATATTTTCATGCTTTTATTTCATGGTTAAAATATAAATAGCATGATCATAAATTACTACTAATTTTACTTACCAATGTTTTCAAGAGAGAATCCATAAGATTGTTTACTACATCTTTATTGTCATAATTCAGTCCAAGAGAAAGCAAAGCAAGCTTGAAACAGTCTTCAGTGAGAATCTTCAAAGCTGAAACACAGATCATACATTAGACAGGTTTAAAGCAAATTGAAATTGGGCATCACAAAAAATTCTAGGGGGTTTAAATACTAGTACATGTATGACAGTTTTGACCCAAAATCACTTGGGCTCGTGTATGACAATTTTGACCCAAAATCACTGCATGATTTTGACTGGGGGGGGGGGGGGTGACTAAGGACCTGCTGGTTTAAGAAAAATTAATAGGACTTGTTTTTTTTGCATTAGGACTCTTGAAAACTTTTAGACTGTGGTACAGCACCACTATATATGTGCATATCTAGTTTTGAGCTAATTAACATCTCATTTTCAGAAGAAATTCTCGGTGATAGGGGGGATGAACATGAATCAATATAATCCATCAATATAGCTAATGTAACTATGAATTCATATTTATTTTTCAGGGTGAGGATGGGGGAAGGACGCAAATCAATATATCTTAACTTTAAAATCATTACCTTGTTTTGACATGTGCCTCCCCTCTGCATAAACTGTAAAGTAAAATTCTTGTATATTGGATTCTCCATGTAGTTCAACAACAGAGGAACATGCCTTGCAAAATTCCTTCCTCGAGAGTGTACATTTTCTATCATTAGAGTCCACAGTCTTAATTTCAGTACTTCCACACATTGACTTGAAAAGTTGTTCACTAAGATATGATGATGCTCCTTTTTGTTGAAAGTATGTCACAAAATCGTTTAATGTCAGTGAATTGTGGGACTCTGTCTCATCTTCTAACTTTGATGCTGTCAGTATTTTCTGAAAATAAACTTTCTGCTTAAATGAAGTTTAAACGAGTATTAAAGTTAAGAGTATTAAACTTATGGCATCAACTAGAAAAAAATGTATTCAAGATAGCAAACCATAACATTCACATGGTTGGTTTACAAAATGACAGATGATGTCAAATTTGTGATCTAGAAAATTTGGATTATGAAAAAATGTTCTCATGTCATTTTCTGCCACCTAGACTAATAAAGAAAAACAATTTAAATTATAACTTAATTTTAATTAATTAATTTTTAAAAATGCAAGCTAAAAACAATGTTGTTTTCTGCCTTAATAATGTTTATCACTTGATTTCTACATGGAAAGATCAATTGTCAATTGTTTTTTTTGCTAAACCTTCGAAAAAGTAAATGTCACTCCAAATTGTTGTACATGTACTATCCAGATGCTAACTTACTCACTATCAAACTTAGTAATATAACTCTGAATAATGGCATATTCCCATAGATTTCGGCCTGCTTTTCAACATTTCAAGCTAGTACATCATGTTTTGTGATCCTGGTCATGTATAATATGTGGAACAAGTAAAACTGAGAGAAAGTCAAAACAGAACTCTGTTATCTTTATCTTAGTTCAAAAACTTTCACTTTTTGACTTCCTGTTTTGTTACTTCCTGCTAGAGTCCATTTCACTGTTTTATTGCGTCAGTAGAACCCCAAAAATAAGAAATCAGAAGACCATTGTGCAATAATACATGTATATGGAAAAGTATATTCATATTGTACATGAATGACATTTGTATATTTCATATTCTTTATTTTTTTGTGCAATAAGCCTGTGTCCTCTTGCAATTTCCCACTTGGAATTTCAGCCATGTTAATCTTATTGCAAATAACATGGCAGAGAAGCATCCAAACATAAGAGTCCACACACTTTATAAGCCAAACTAGAAGCAATCCAAGATATACAAATGTCATTCATGTACAATAAAAATTTATTTTTCCATATATTATTGCATAATGATATTTTGATTTCTTATTTTTTAGGTTTTACTGACGCAATTAAACAGTGAAATGGACTCTAACTACCATGAGACCTTAAGTCTCGCTTCATCTTAAACAACTCAGGACAGGGTTTGACACTCTCTTTTCGCATCACTCCAATCATAAGTTTCATCCAGTTAATTAAAAAAAAACATTTTTCAAGAAAATTTGAATGTCAACAAAGCTGTTTCTGGTTTCTGCAAAACGTCCGAGACGACCAACCAACCAACCGAGAGGATGAACAAAAGGTAAAGTGGTATATAGTGATGCCAATATTGAAACTTGGCGCCAATTTGAAACTTTGGAATGATCCATGATCACAAAAAGTCGATTGACAATTGACCATTTCCAACTCCCACCCCTTTGACTTTTTCTGAAAAAATCATGCAAAATAAGCACAAAATTTACCTCAAAAACACTATCTATTTGGTTTAAACGGCGGGAATTCGGTATAGAATTAGAATGATCCACTTGTATATTCGGTGAACTATCTGTTTGACTCTGTTTATTCCCCATTTTGTCTTTCAAACAGACAGTAATAGGTAAATTCTGTCAAAATTTTAATCTTAAAACTCCCTCGTCCACCATATTGAATTTTTCCCGGCCTGCATTGCGAGGATTAACTACTAGCGTAATGATATATTAGGAACTACATTCTTCTTCTATTTAATTGAAGGTTTCCCTCATTATATGAGACATGATCTATCATATTTGAGTAAGACCATTCAATATATGTAACATATTGTGGAAAAATCATATATTTAAAAAATGACAAGAGAGTTTTTTGGAACTATATGTTTCCTGTGTATTGACATATTTTACTTGAGTATGTTGCAGGTCTCCAAGTAGGAAAAGAACATTGTCTTTTCAGAATTTGTAAAAACTTAAGCCATATTCTGGCACTACGATGGCTTGTTGTAAGTCCAAATGCAAGCTTTCAACAAAGATCATACCGGCAACTGTTGCCTGGTCACTCCTGATTGGATGTACGGCCATTTTCTTCGTGTTCGTGTGAGTATTTTGTCATTCAGATTCTCTTCAATTTTTTCGATTTGCATCAACATTTTTATCTTTCAATCTGATTCACTGTTCACTGACTGGATCAGTCTATCAACTCTTTAAGTTTATATGAATTTATGTACACATTATATTCAATCTATGTATTACATTGTAAACCTTGTGTAGACTCAACACCAGATCTGATGTCTCTGCTGAAATACTGTGTCACGTCAATTTGATCGCAATTTGTCAGTTGCCATCCTTTACATTTAACAAATGAAACAATATTCTAAAACAATTCATAAACTACAGTGTCATATACAATCATTTAGTTTCTGTAAGCCTATGTCACGAATCGCTCAAATCTCAAATGAAATTCTTGGAATGAGAATTCTGGATTTATGCATACCAGTCAGTCACTATTTTGATTGATAGAGTGGGGAACTAAGCTTTTAAAGCAGGGGTTTCATTAGCAGCAGGCAACAGGCGATTTTCATCAGGTGTTTTCACAAAATCGCCTGTTGTTTTTAGGTAACTCGAGTCTCTAGCAAATTTTTTGGCTAGAGGAGATTTCATCTGGAATACTGTGAACTACATTTGAAAAAAGCTGGCTGTCGTGTCATAAATTTATTGAATATTCTAAAAATCGCCAGATAAATAATTCATTAATTAAAATGGGACCGACTCAGCTCCTTGATGAGATATTGCAGGATTTCATCTAAAATCAAAACAAAATGGCTCCAAGAAAAATGGCGATTTTCGAAAACTAGTCAAAATGTTGGTAATGTCTGACATTAGTAACTGGCTGTAAATTTTAAGTTAGCGATCCAGAAGATGTAAACTAATACATTGATCACGTGAACTAATACATTGATCACTTCATGTGTGTTTAGGAATTTTTGATGAGGTAATAAGACCAAAACTCGCAATTCAAATTGTGATGTGGAGAAATGGCGGACATTTGATTTAAAATTTTATGATTACGACATGACCCCGAGCTGCAAATATACATGTACTTTGAAATATGGAATGATCTTTCTAGCATTAAGTAAAAAGTGCCTGACACTATAACCTATTGAGCCTCCGAAAATAAGTTTTCTATGTACATGAATATCAATTTGTACCCACTTGAATCATGAGACAATTTGGATCAGTTTTGGTCATACATTGTATTGTGGGAATAAGAGTTTTCAACTCTAAGAAGTGAATCTTTGTGAGAACACAGAAGGATTTAAAGCTATTGAATTGTTGTCAGGATTAGAGGTTTGCTAGTAAATTTTGCTCTCAGAAACCATTATATAGTGTTGGTCACTGATTGCAATCTAAGATTGATATTTTATTTATAATTATTTCAATCTATTATTATATGATAATTATATATTTGAAGGTCAAGTTATACTAGTGAGTAGTGAGAACATAGAATGATTAAAAGCTATTAAATTGTTGTCAGGATTAGAAAAAGGAATTCTAAGTACTTACCCTACTTGCCAATAAAATTTGCTAGTAAATTTTGCTTTCAGACACTTGTTCATTGATTACAATTTCTGAGATTGATATTTTATTTCAAATTACTTCAATCTACTACCCTGCATGTAGAGTCTAGTTATAACTAAAGAAGACGAAGCTCTCTTTTAAGAAGCGTAGTGGAACGAATGCAAAGGGTATCAATCTACTGTACTATTATTAATATGGCACTCATATATTTGAAGGTCAAATTCTACTGTGTTGTTATTAAAATATTTCATTCTGTTGTGGTGAATACCTGTGACACCTTCACATGTACCTTATGAAATATTACTTGTGAAAGATGCGATGTATTATGTAACTGTCTTGTTTCCCATTATGTTGTTGTCATAGCCTAGCCATAATCAAATGAAAATGAAATGATAATTCTACAAATAGTTCATTCTGTTGAAATAGAAATACCATATAAGTAGTTATTATAAATTACTCTAAATAGATATAGGTATTAGATGTATAATAGGTAGCAGAATATCATCTTGTTAAATATGTAACATAAATTCAACAAAAAGCAATTTCTCTAAAACAATTGCGTCATAAAAACTACTTTTTAGGAGATATATACCAATTCTTGGTTGAGATATGAATGGAATATTAAACATTGTACTCAATTATAATCCAAATATTTTTAAAAAATAAATCTTGCCTAAAATTATCCAATTAATTTCAGAGTTAAAGGATCATATTCAAATAAAAATTGTTTATTAATATTCATAAAATTATGTAATTGTTTAATTTACACAATGTTTTGTGTCTAGAGTATCTTGCTTTTGTATCATGATTTCTGATTAGAGATATATCTTGTTATGGCCTTTAAATGCAACATTAATAATTTATCTCACCATTTATCTCAATTATATTCACGAAAGCAACTGAATAATTTGAAACAGGTTTTGAAACAGGATTCATGAATCATGTTTTTGTGAAAACAAAAATGTTTTGTTATTTAAAGAGGTCTTTTTTCAACTTGCTTCAAATTGACCAATCTTTTTTCAAAATTATTAGAAGCTTTCAGTTTTCAGAAGCTTAAATCTGACTTTAAATTTGAGATTTGACCATCTCAAAGCCGAAAGGGGTCAAGAATGTGTTTTTTTCAACTTGGTTCAAATTGACCAAATGTTTTTTCAAAATCATCTACAAGATCTCAGAAATTCAAATCTGACTTAAGATTGAACTGTGGGCAAAAAGGTGTATTTTAATGAGGTAGTGGTGACTGTTAAAGGCCCCGTATAATGTTAAAACCACCTTTGCTGATTTGCAAACTACACAGGGCCTTAAATCTGAACTACTGAGATATTATTAAACCACTCAATATGCCATATTTAGAACCAAAAAAGCAAAGAAAGCTAAAAACATATATGAGCCTGGCCATAGGAAAACCAGTCTTATCACAAAAATTAAAATTGTGTAACAGATCCGAAAATGTGCCTGAGATTAAGAGGAAAATGCGCTAACTTAAAATCCGTCTTTTTGGTCTATGTATATGCAAGGAAAAATTGTTAAGACATAAGTAATGGCTCATTGGAAAGGTCTTTTTGTGCTTTTTAAGATAAACAAAAAATCAAAATATTGAAAAATCTGTGATAAGACCCCTTCTCCTATGGCCTGGCTCATATATGAAGTTATTGGTTGTATCTAAGCTATACATAATACAAGATTGATTGATTCCAGGATTTCTATTGACGTCATTAAGTAGGTGTATTTCCAGTTTTTCAGTTTTTCTAGCTTTTCTTATTTTTCGTGTGAATAATCATGACATGGTGTATTATTTTTATGATATTTTTTATACATAACTGTTCTCTGTGTACCTTTATATACATGTACTTTATAAAACATGTGTAAAAACTTAAAGATACCAAAATGTGGGACAGACTGATGTACTTTTCATCAATTGTTCACCTCATTCTTTTGTCATGAATCGAAAAAGGGGAATTTCTGGTCACCATCAAAAGTCCAAATGTACCATTAACCAGTGAAATACAAGTCTAGATGCTAACTAGTGTACCTATTTAACAACCTCGTGTAAACTGCAATTATATTTCTTTTCGCTGCTGAGTATTGATATTGAATATATTCTGCAAGAAGAAATTATTTAATAATTCTATCAGACAGTTTACACTATAGGCTTTTATTAGATCTCTGTTCATCTCAAACATATTTATCCGTGCTGAAAAAGTGTACTCTTTCGATATTTTTTTGATATGTCAATTTGAAATAACTTTTATTTGATTCAACCTAAATGTTCTCATTTATGTGTGGTATAGTTTATATTTGACTATGTGTTTATTTTCTTTGTTTGTCTGGTTATTTCGCTATGTTTTATTTTTCAATTTAAACATGAACATAATGAATTTTTTCGGGTAATTTGTAGATAGATCAATAGTGTATCGGCATCCAATACATCCTTAGTACAAAAGAGACACATCGTTATATGTGAGAAAAAATGTCGTCTCGGTCAATAACTGTTTTGAAAGACAAAATAACAAGAAAAAGTACATAACTAAAAGTACATTCTAAATTATTAGAAATGCTGTAAAATGAGTGATGTCTTACAAATAGGGAAATACATGTGAGTGGGACATTGGGTATAAATAAGTATAATAAAACCCGTCTTAGTGAACACATGTCTCTAGTAGGCACACTTCCTCCATACATTCTCTACTGATTTCTATAAATTATCCTCTCTAAAGTGAACACCTTTCTACAGTGAATGCATATCGAAACACCTCTTTAATCCAAACACCTTTCAATATGAACACTTTCTTTTGGTTCTCATTTGTCATCTCATATTGACTCGCGTGTAATAAAATTTAACAGAACGCCTTGTATTCTGAACACATCACGTCAGTTCCAGTAGCATTCAAAATAGACACGTTTTGTTGTATACACACACATAGATACAGTTTATTAGTATCTTATCTTTCAAATGCCATTAAGTAGAGATGTAAAATACTAAAATAGATTCAATGTATGAGGGGTAACAATAAAATGTGTGTTGAGTGATCAATATGATCAATAAATAACATGAACCAATATGGTTTATATTTTGTAGTCATCTATATGATGTTTTTTTACTTCTTTATTTTCAGATAGAGTAAAACCTGTGTAAATTGAACACTTTTGATAATAGGATATTGAAAAATGTTTCATCTTAATAATGGTGTTCTACTTTATTGGTTTAATGGTACAATAAAGGTATATATCCCACTTAAAGGGGCAGTATACTCAAATATTTTGCCAGCTTAGCAGCTAATTTTAATGATTTTACTTACTCTCAGACATATTCTCAGTTACCTGGCAACTTTCTTGTTTACATTTTTTTCAATAAAAGAAACCCTTAGTTGCAAAATTTAATTAAAGAATCAGAGATTGCTGCCTGAACAACTCTTTATTTTGCTTATTGAGACAAAAACATAAAATCAAACATAATTTCTTGATCAATACTGACTGTAGTTCCTATTTCCTAGACACGCTATTTGTCATTCTCTGTCAAAATCAAAACATGGAATAGAGGATTAGATATTGATCATTTCCATTTACCAACTTTGCAACCAACACATGTTATTTACAGTTAAACGGGTAGTATACTCAAACTTTTAAGTTAAATAATATCTTGATCATTAATCAGTATTTTCTTGAATATTAATTCCTTTATTTCTTTGGCATCATCTGTCAAAAGAATAGAATGAACTAGTACGAATAAGAAAGAGGTCACTTTCATGACCAACCCTGGGTTTTTCATTTTCAAAATTTTCAACTACTTTAACTTGTTATCCCACCCTTGGGTGCTATATTGCACCTTGGTCATAAATACAAAAACTGGAAATGCCGGGAGGATACTACTTCATTCAAGTCACATTTAAAATAGTTTCTTATGAACACTGTATTTACAGGAACCTCAGCGCCATTTATCGCAGTTCCACCCTTCACAAATGAAGGTTACTTCTCCTTTAAGCCACATTAAAAATGGTTTATTATGGACACTGTATTTTTCAGGAGCCCCTACCTGTTGCATACCACCCTACATGAAGGGAGTGTACTTCTCCTTTAAGCCACATTAAAAGTAGTTTGTTATGAATGTTTATTGTATTTTCAGGAGCCCCGGCCTGTTGCATACCCCCCTTCATGAAGGGACAGTACTATTCCTTTGAGCCACATTAAAAGCAGTTTGTTATGAATGTTTACTGTATTTTCAGGAGCCCCCACCTGTTGCATTACCACTTAGTGATCATAGTCTACCAGGGCATCCTTACACTGTTTGTCATCATGAATTTTGGCCTAGCAACCTTCATGGACCCTGGAGTCTATCCCAGAGGTAAATACTGTATAGTGTTTGATGTCTATAACAAATGGCAGGTAGTGACATTTTGCATGTTAATATCTTGTTGAAACTTATCACAAGATATTTCTCAAATAGTCGCAAAAGGATCATTTTCCTAATTCAGACCAAAATTGGTCAATGCGCCTATTAACCATGATTTATATCATTACAAATTGAGTACAAATGGAAAATGGAACAAATAGATGCAGAACCCCCTCCTGCTTTAATATTTCCGGTAAATCTCAATAACCTTCAGAATCCTTTATACCTGAATTATCACTATCAGGATCTAATTAAGGTGAAATATAGAAACCTGGATGGAATATTAATTCCTGTCCGCTCACTGTTTGATGAACCTCTTCATTTATATCTGAAGCATACATGCTACTAGGATATACAGGGTGAGCCAAAAAGTTACCTGTATTTTACATATACACAGCCAATATAGTTCAGCGCCGTTTCTGCATCGAAAAAATTTGGCGCGCGCTGTTCTGGCACCGTAACCTTTCGACACCAAAATTTGCCACCGGACTAGTCAGTCCATTTGGTGCCGAAACGGCGGCGAAAATCAGATTGCATTTTGGGGGTGTCAACAATCAGAATGGGTAACATTCTTTTCACTCACCCTGTATAAAATTAAATTAATGATCTCCTATGTATTAAAGCAAGTAGAATCTGCACCCACTTGAGATTTTAATCGGAGGCAAGTTGCACCCATCTGAAATCTATTTGCACCCAACATACTTGAAAGTGAGGAGAAATCTTAAAAGTAGGCATTTTTTGATCAAATTTTGTAAATAAGAATTTGAGAAAAAAATTCTGAGGAGAACACTGGTATATTAAAACGCATCTGCTCAGTATTTAAAATAAACCTCTTCACTTAATGTTTCTGAGTGAATATGCTAGTAAGGCTTTATAAAAAACAGAATGATTGATTATGTCTATTATGCTTATATTTAATCCATTTTCTGCAGCAGATTGGAATTAGTCTTCATCATACCTTGCAACCAATGTCACATTTATTATGACATCATTGAGCTTGATTTTAGGGATACGTTTAAAATATTGATATACATTTGGGGAGGGGGTAAACGTCCATTAGATAACAACATTAATTTGAAAGAAGTATAGCGCATCAAAATATATCATGTCATTTTTCATGGGTAGTGATTATTCTGAAATGAATGTTCATAGCAGACCAATGGAGGAAATGTCAAGATCAATCTTCCTTTATTTGAACCTTATCCTAGTGCAGTAATCAGTCTGCTGATGAGAATACTCTCAAGGTCAGTTGTCTGTTGACAAGTAACCTATCCAAAACACATGTTATTGAAAAGTTGCAGACCCAAATGAAAATCCTGATGAATACCCAGAGTGATAGATATATAAGTCATAGAAATTCTCGCTAAAATAACTAACTTTGACAAATTTTGTTCAATTTACATGAATTATTTCTATAATATTGTTGTTCATTAAAATCATCATGGGCTTTCAAGAGAATCAAAATAAACATCAGATACTGTATATTAAGATAGTAAAATGGCAGTTAAAAAAGTCAATGGTATTAAATGTATAACTACTAAATGTTAACCCCCTTGTTGTAGCCCATGAAGATGAGCAGACAGATGATGACTATAGGGCACCATTATATAAGAATGTGGACATTAAGGGCATCACTGTACGTATGAAGTGGTGCAGTACCTGTCAGTTCTACAGACCCCCTAGATGTTCTCACTGTAGCGTCTGTAATAACTGCATTGAGGTGAGAACAGTTCCCTGTTTTATTTTCAAACAATTTGTCCTTATTGTCAATTTACGGGTGCAGGATTGACTAAGTGCTGAATGTAAGTTTTTTAATGTAAACCCTATGTATGGTACATTGGTACATTTCTCCAACATGAATACCTCACTAAAATGAATACCTTTCAGTCTGGAATGAAAACCTCTCTAAAGTGAACACCTTGACTGTAATGCTTATCTGTTTTGTTCGCTTGAGATTAGTTTTATGAAAACCACATAATTGGAAAGTATCCTACTGCAGAGTTACATGCAACTTTGATATCTGTAGAAACCTGACCTTGTGGCAATTTCTTGAATGTACAATGTTCTTGTATACATTGATATAATGTAGAAACTTGACCTTGTGGCAATTTCTTGAATGTACAATGTTCTTGTATACTTTGATATCTGTAGAAACTTGACCTTGTGGCAATTTCTTGAATGTGCATTGTTCTTGTATACATTGATATCTGTAGAAACTTGACCTTGTGGCAATTCTTGAATGTACATTGTTCTTGTATACATTGATATCTGTAGAAACTTGACCTTGTGGCAATTTCTTGAATGTGCAATGTTCTTGTATACATTGATATCTGTAGAAACTTGACCTTGTGGCAATTTCTTGAATGTACAATGTTCTTGTATACATTGATATCTGTAGAAACCTGACCTTGTGGCAATTTCTTGAATGTACAATGTTCTTGTATACATTGATATCTGTAGAAACTTGACCTTGTGGCAATTTCTTGAATGTACAATGTTCTTGTATACATTGATATCTGTAGAAACTTGACCTTGTGGCAATTTCTTGAATGTACAATGTTCTTGTATACATTGATATCTGTAGAAACTTGACCTTGTGGCAATTTCTTGAATGTGCAATGTTCTTGTATACATTGATATCTGTAGAAACTTGACCTTGTGGCAATTTCTTGAATGTACAATGTTCTTGTATACATTGATATCTGTAGAAACCTGACCTTGTGGCAATTTCTTGAATGTACAATGTTCTTGTATACATTGATATCTGTAGAAACTTGACCTTGTGGCAATTTCTTGAATCTACAATGTTCTTGTATTATGTTAACTTAATTGAAACCAGATGATGGCCTTGAATCGTTCCAGATTGTATTTGCTTCGACAACCTGTTGATATATGCATTATTCACACACACCATTTGCCTACCTGTTGATTTGTACAGATATTTTAAGTAACCCTTGATTTCTTTTCCAGACTTTTGACCATCACTGCCCTTGGGTGAATAACTGTGTAGGAAAAAGGAACTACAGATTTTTCTTCCAATTTCTGCTCTCGTTGACGCTACATATGATCAGCATATTCATTTGGTGTCTTCTATACGTGCTAGATCATAAAGAGAAAATCGTTACCATAGAGAATATCTCTGCGTATCCTTTATACTCGCGTAACACTCACTGACAGGGGTCTGATTTATGTCTTAATATTGTTTTAAGCTATTTAGTTGTTGTTTTTTTATGAGAAAATATGAAATAACAATATCAAATACAATATTGAAATGTTACATGTGGTATTTGCCATAAATTATCAACTTGATGTTTTCTGTCATGATTCCAATATGTTAAATAAACAAACCAGAAAAATGTGGAGGTCTGTGATTAATTTACTGTCATACAGACTCTATTATAAACTTACAATTCAGTTGTTCTTTTTATTGTGACATCATTTATCATAAGCATAATTAAAAAATATATAAAACATCAGAAGGCAAAAGCAATGCGTAGAATCTCATTTTACAATTGACCTTTCCAAAAGGAAAAGGTACAAAGTAAAAAGTAACAAGTCAATTACATGCAAAATATCACCACCTGCCATTTGCTACAGGTGCTGACTGCCAAATGCCTTACACCAACCACTGAACGCCAAATGCCAAACATCCTCCACAAAAAATTGGCGGTGTTGACATAAAAAACTTGTTTTTGAGTCAAATTAGATGAGTTTTAACTAATGTTACATTTCTGTGTTTGATTCCTTGACTGTATGTAGTATTTGTGTTATGATAATCATAGGGCTACTCATTGTTCCTGTATGTGGTCTTACTGTGTTTCATATGGTGCTAGTATCTAGGGGAAGAACTACGAATGAACAGGTAAGAGCAAATATTACTTCATCTAAAAGTTGTCATACATACACTGTATGCCAGTTTTTATTAAGCAATTTGGTAGAGCTCCAAATTGCTTAAAAACTGGCATTTGGAGCTGTACCTAGTTGAAAATTTGAAAATTAAATGCCACCAAGTTGAAAATGCACCTTGCCAAAATTTTGTGAAGTATAGAAATATTGAGATATTTTGACTAACAGCTAAAATTGGATTCAACACCCAATAATTTTTAGAAATATTATGAATTTTGGTTTGTGTCTCACAATTTTAGCAGAACATCGATGACTAGTAAAGTATTTGAGTCAATAGTTCACAGTTTGATCAATTAAACTTAAATCAATTATTTACTCCTTATGTGCAGGGGTTTAGCTGAGGTTCTGAGAGCAGTTGGTCAAAATGGCATTACGGACATGTTGCCATGTTATTTTCCTATACCCACAGGAAAAATCAACTGGTCTCAGCGCTTGCATTAGGTTAGAAAATTTGTGAGTCCCAAGGACGCAATTTTTTTTAAAGTGTGTCCTTTGAAAAAAAAGTGTGTCCCCTATTTCTAGCCTGTTTTGAGGTATAACTTTATTTTAAAAGCATTTTTTACCAAAACACCTTTCAGTTTTTGATTTCTTGCCGCGAATTTAAAACGGAAGTAAACGTTAAGTACGGACTGAATAAATGCATGTTCGTTCATTCGACAATGAATACATTTTATTTGATGAATAACCTAATATTTGTTTCTGAATAGGAAAAACTGTGGCGTGTCATGGTTTCAAATCTAAAAATAAACAAAGTCAAAAAAATTCGAGAGAATCATGATTATTTGTAAATATTCAACATGTTGAGCCATATTTACGATTCAAATAAAGGTGAGAGATCATAATTATTTGTTTTTGTTAGGTATCGTTGTAAACACATTGTAATATTGACCTAAAAAAATTTTGCGTCCAAAAAACGGAAATATTTTCAATTTTTGAGTCCTTAACATGTACGGGACGCCGTTAATGCAAGCCCTGGGTCTGTATCAAAAATGACCTAGCATATGGTCCTCAGCTCAAGTCCTGGATTTGGGGTTATGAGAGCTTTAGCATACAACACACTCTAATGTATTATTTACTTTTGGATATTTTTCTAGGTGACAGGAAAATTCCGTGGTGGCCATAATCCATTCACTCGCTCCTGTTCGGATAATTGTAAATATACTTTGTGTGGACCCACATATCCCAGGTAAATATACTTTGTGTGGACCCACATATCCCAGGTAAATATACTTTGTGTGGACCCACATATCCCAGGTAAATATACTTTGTGTGGACCCACATATCCCAGGTAAACATACTTTGTGTGGTCCCACATATCCCAGGTAAATATACTTTGTGTGGACCCACATATCCCAGGTAAATATACGTTGTGTGGACCCACATATCCCAGGTAAATATACGTTGTGTGGACCCACATATCCCAGGTAAATATACTTTGTGTGGACCCACATATCCCTGGTAAATATACTTTGTGTGGATGGATCTCAAGACATTACATTTTATGTGGACCTACAAATTTCAGTTAAATACCTTCTGATGTCACAGTTATTATGCCATTATACCAAGCACAAAATATAACACTTCAACAACATCCAAGAATCTAAGATTCATTCATAAAATTGTGTGACTTCTATGATATTATGTATATTGTATATGTTAATGTAACTGCTTTCAAATGTTTTTTCTATGAATAAAAAAAGGAATAAAGAAAAATTACATCCTCCAATTAGAAATCACACATGAATTGCTTGATTCAATAAATAACGGATTCTTTCTTTTCTCTTCAGGGTCGTTGGTAGAGCTAGAAAATTACGAACAATAAACATAGACGCTTCTAAGGTAACTTATGTGACGTCAGAGAAAAATGTGAAAATTTATATGGAAGATAGCAATGGAGTAAAAGCTGCGAATACATATAGCCAGGTATGCAAAGTTTTACTTTTGGTCATCATGAATTCACAGTTTTTTTTCAAAATGGATAGGTAGTTGACTGTTTATTTTTTCACGGGGAGTTCTCTTTTTTTTTTAAATGCTTACTTTCATTTTGCTTATATTTTCATTTTTTGCTCCTGGGATAAAAGGTGGCTAAAAATGTTATTCACTGGTCTGGATAGAATTTGGATTTTATCCTTTTTTAGATATGATATATCTTCCAAATACCTACCTTGGTCAGATCATTCCTCATGATAACCATTGTCATCCCACCTGTTATTATTAACCAAGGAATCAAAACAGCCAAACCTTGTCCCTAAACTGTAACTTGGGCAAAATCAACCCAGTTATTTCAGGGGTTGTAAAAATAGGGTTTGTACATGTAAAGTATATATACCCCTATTAGCATGTACAATATTACAAAAAATGATTATTTTAATTTTAAGTTATAATATTTATTTATTTTATTTAGATGTACTGTTCTCTTTTCTTACTTAGTATATTTTGTTTTTGCACTAATTTCATGTTGTATCTTTATATTTATTTTTGATAACATAAACATTTGAAATTTCTTAGTTGACTCTAGAATATGCTATGCATAGCACTGCTGCATACTGGATCCTTGTATGAACCAATATGCTTAAAGGTTGTGTATATATGAAATGCAAGAAAATTATAAAGATTTTCCTGTTACATAAAAATCATGACGTTATGATTGACTCTACATGTGTTATATCGTATCATTTGTTGATTTTAAATTCTCGTTTTTGGTAGTTTAACGCCCTGGCACCTCTAGCTAAGTATGTCGATCTATGACAAAACTCTTTGGTAAGTGACTACAATGTCTCGCTCAAAATCTGACACTTTCAGAGTTGCTTGGTACTTTAATTAAAATTTTTTGATTGCTTTGTAAAGTTTCTTCATACATTAAGACAACTGTCTGTTTTTAAGTATGCCTTTATACATCAATCAGTCAATGGCACACTTTTAAATTTTTTATCAGATGGTTTTAGAGCTAAACAAAATCGACGGGGATCAATCCAAAAAGATTTTTACTTCCAGTTGCATTCTAGCCATTTTAGATAGTTTCATGTTAAATAAAGGAACAATGTATTTGATGGATTTTTAAGATGTTACAGATGTTTACATTTTAAATGAATAAACAACCGCAAAGAGAAATTCATATAGACCTAATTTGATGATTCTGAATTTTGAAATGTGATATTTTCTTGCATTTTAAGTATAAATACAACAAAAAGTGTGAACTTGAAAATATAATGCTTTGCTCTTCTAGCCCTGAGTTAACATCAAATCCATCTTAATTTGAATGAATTATGATTTTAGGAAGCTAGTTGTTCTTTAAAGGACAAGTATCTGTAATTGACTGGTCTTAAATCAACACAAAATATATTTGACATCAATTTGATTGTAACTTACACCATCACTAGGCCAGAGTTTAGTATAGAGCTTTTCTGAAAATATCAAAGCTTAAAAAATTGAAATTGAAAATTGAAGAATTTTTTCACGTTTACTTACTCTCACCTTTTTTTTAAAGTACAGTTAATACCCTTTCAGTTACAAAAGCCATTCTTTCACAGTCAGTGCAAGGATAGAGAGTGCAGACTCTGGAATTATTTTAAGCTCTGATATTGACAACAAGAAGGTTTATATATCAAAAAGCTGTTGTAAGTTACATACCGGTACTCATATCATTTTGAAATCATTTTAAAATATTTTGGGTTGATTCAGGATCAGACATACAGATATTGTTGCCCCTTTAAGATGAAATCAACATTTGAATGAAATTGTTCATATAAAAAGTTATTCCTTAGCTTTGATAATAGTAATTGTGTTTAACTGATTTGTTGTATAAAAGCATACATTTCATTTGGGTTGTGACGGAATATCCATGTTAAACTCTTTATTACTAACACAAAACCATACACAAAGTTCAATAAGAATACCAATACCAATATCTCTCTATGTATACCTGTTTGGCTCTGAAAACGTGGTTTCATGTTGTTATCTTTTATGTCCATATTCGATTTTTGTTTGTATCTGTCAATGATATTAGAGATTTTCACAATATATGCAATTTCTGCAGAACCTTTTGGTTTATTAATCCATCGTGTATTTGTTATGCTTTTGTCTTTAAAAAATGTAATAATTCCGTCAAATAGATTTTGAGTATAGACTGAGTAGTTCATTTTATAGAGTGATGTGTTTCAAAATAATTGCCTAGCGAGTTCTAATTTTTGTTAATAAACAGTAGTAGATTCTTTTAGTTAGTTGAGTTGGCTTGATTCCTGTGTTCTCATTTTCTATTGATAATGCCGTTTCTTGGCTAAACAAAGTTTGTAAATAATTTCATATACATTTCTCTTTTTCATACATTTAGATGTGCAGATAATTTTAGAAGATATTGAATTAAAAGTAAATGGAGTTCATATTCTCTTGAATATCTATTCTCACCTTGTTAAAAAATATCTATCGAACAAAATAAATGGCATTGTCCCACTACATTGTATTTATTTCTATTGAATTGCAATTCTATAATTTCAAATATCATTTAACTGCGTTAAATAACATATGGTATGCAATACTAGATAAGCCTTCAGTAAGATAAGCCTCTTGTAAGATAAGCCTTCTGAATGATAAGCCTTCTGAATGATACAGATTTCTTATTCTGTCATCACCCCTTTGTCTACGTTTTCTGTTTCTAATCTTGATAAAACAAACAGTTACGGATTGGCTTTTCTCACTTATACTTTATTACGCTGTATTTCAAACTGGGATTTCCAAATTAATATTTTTTTGTATATCTATCAATCTATTTTGTATAAGTCTTACTAACAAAATTGGTTTGAAATATTGTTTTAGATTAATAATTTTCCTTGTAAAGGCCAATTTCAAAACATTAATTTTTATATTTTTAATTTCTATGTAAATTCATCACTCTGGTAATATATTAATAATATTATTAATATATTTTTAATGTTAAAGCAATTTAGTAAATGGGAGTTTTTGAGAAAAATGTGTTCACTGTATAACGTATATATAATGTATTCTTTCAGTGAGTTCTAAACTCAGTAGCCAACATTTCAATTTACATGGGTCTAGAATCAAATTGTGTTCAAATCAATCCGGGGACTATAAAATTAGAAAAGGCACTTTCGAATTACTACATGTACTATTAAATCACAACAAGCATTATTAAATCAGAACAAGTATTATTAAATCAGTACAAGTTTTATTAAATCAGTAAACCTTGTGTTAAATCAGTTTTGGTTCTATTAAAGTCATACTTATACAGCCCTATTAAATGAGTACAAAATACTTAACAGAACAGGAAAATTAATTTCATACCATTTCTATTAGATATGTACAGCTAACAATAAATAGGTACACAATTATACTCCGTACTTTAAATCAATATGAATGTTATTGCAATGTTGGTTTAAAAATAAGTTGTGCAATATAGTATATCTACTCTTGCTTCTGACTCTTGCATCCACCCAGATTCTCTTGGACACATGACACAGTGCTCATGAATTTGATAGGGCAGGGGATGGGGAGGGGGGGATGACAGTATACTTGATGGAAGACTATTCTGTTGGTACATGTATATTTGAATATATATAACTCAGTCAAAAGTATGAAATGCTTCTTGATTTCCCTGTGGTTTCGATTAAGATCTCGTAATTTAGATGCAAATTGAATCATTATTTACAGCATTTTGTCCCAGATTATAATAAATGTACATGTAGATAGTTTTATAATGAAGATATTTTCTGCTGTTTCAGATGCAGCCTGCCTGTGGTCAACACAGTCCCTCATTAGATTCTGCCAGGGGATTCTCCTCGCGTGATGAACCAGCATCAGTCTTTGTGCCAAAAACTGGATCATATAACAATCTTTTTGATAACACCTCCCAGGCCAGCCGTGCCAGTAGCACCACCCCCGCCCCGGAGCTGGAGCGCGAGTACCACCCCCGTCCTGGTCACCGAACCCCACCCTCAAGGATCATTGTCAGGACGCCTCCTCCAAAAGCTCGTGGAGTTGAAATGAAACAAACTTATGCTCCTATGGCTCCACAGGAGAAGCTATCTCCAAGGATACGACGCAGCGGAGCTGAGTCACCAGATTGCGCTCTTGCTAGCGATGAAAAATATCCAAATATGTCCAGTTTAGGATCCAGAGATAGACTGGCCCCAGTGACTCAAGTTAAGCCAACCAATTATTCAGTCACTGCTAACGGCAGTGGGAACGCACATTCTTACCCCATGGCAGCCACAGCCAATCATAAACCAAGGGGGACTCAGGGCGCCACTAGAGTAGCTGGGAAACCCCCCCACCCTCAGGGTAGTGTAGACATTGTCGGTCAGCGAGCTGCCGAGGCTGGACATCATAAAAAATACCATGAACCCCGGGGTCATGTAGACAATAAAGCGCCATCTAGTAGTGGCGGTGATAAAGCTCAGCAGGACAAAGTATCCCAGCTACTCTCAGCAAACACAACATTTAGACGGCCCGTGTCTTTCGTCAAAGCGCTAGAAATGTCTGAATCTTTAGCATCACAGGAAAAACAGCAACAACAACAAAGACAGAAAAACAAAGAACCAAGTAGTAAAAGTTCAGATTACGGATCCACTTATGAAATATCAGTGTAGTTATAGAAAACCTCTCTTATGGAGAACCACTGTTTTGGAGAACCTCTCTTATGGAAAACCTCTCTTATGGAGAACCACTGTTATCGATAACTTCTGTTTTGGAGAACCTTTTTTATGGAGAACTCCAATACGGAGAACCTCTCTTATGGAGAACCTCTGTTCTCATGGAGAACCATTGTTTTGAAGCACCTCTGTTATGGAAAACCTCTCTTATGGAGAAACCCCTTAAAAGGATTTGGGCCGAGTCTTCATACAAGGTTTCTATAAATACTGAAATCCTTTCATGTCCAAATGCAGTGTATCATTTGTTTTTTGTGTGCAAATTTCAATTGAAATCTGAGACCGAGTTTTTTTGCCATCAACCATTACAGTAAATCATGTTTATGACTTTAAATTTTTTGTGGGGTATACTTACTTCTTGTATATCTCTCAGCCCTGAGGTGATGATAATTTTTGAGAATAAAGTTGCCTTTCGGACACTCTGTAGACCATGCCTAGTTTTTTTAAGAAATAAATGTTATTGAAGACCTGCCATAAGGATGACCTATAAAGGAGAACTGTTTATTCAGCAGAACAGATTCTGATTGTTAGGTTCTGATTTTTGGGGTTACCCTGTACATATTTTCACTGGTCTAAGAAATCTGGTTGGGAGTTCAATTCAATGGAAATTATGTAAAACCAGGCCAGATGAATTAGTGATTATGCTACTACGCCCTGCTGAGGTTTACTCGAATAAGATGTATGAATTATGGTTGTTAACTTATGTTTTAATTAATAACTTATAGATACAGTCAAACCTGTCTAAGTGGAACACTTTTGGTACCTTTAAAACGTCTTTCATCTGTAGAGGTTTATTTAACATTAAGTCATTTGGCCTTAGAAAAAAGTTCCACTGACAGAGGTGTTCCACTTTTAGAGTTGTTCCGTTTTACTGTATCTTGTTCACAAAGGTAAAATTTGTTATTTTCCTCCAATCAAATTATAATATGAACATCTATGTTATTAGTTAAAGAACTGTAGTCCCAGAGTAACAACTTTCAAGTGGTATATATATGATGTCCTGTAAAAATCTGTGTAAGTGGAACAACTTTGGTACCTCAAAACTATGTTTATATGGGAAGTGTTCCACTACAGAAGTGTTCCACTTTACAGGTTCTGCTGTATGTAAAAGCTGAAGGGTCCAAAAGAATAATTCATGAGGTCATTTCTCAAATTTTTTGTGATAAGTGATTCGTTTGATATTCCCATTGTCATAGTAACTGCTTCAATATAAAATAGAAAATCAAGCAATCATGAACTACTATCATGGGAAACAAAGTAGTGCATTTATAACAGTTTACTTTTATTGCAAACGAAACATGTTAACCCATATCAATAGTAAATTGTATATTGTAAGAACACCTCTATTGCATTGCTATATTCATCAATGGGCAAAAGACATCCTCCTAAGCAGGTGTCCAGAATCCATACCTCCTTCTTCCCCCCTGCTATAACCAATTTGGAAGCGCCCAATTAAACTGAATCATGTGATCTTATTATGTGCAATGACTTCATACATGATTTCTGTCGCAGTGTTGCGACAGCCAATCAGATTGTAAGTTCTTAATCCGGGAAATGCTAACTGCTTATCGCAGGGGGTAAAAAGAAAGAATATATTCTGGATTTTGATGCCCTGTGATCGGAGGTTGGCAAAAGATTAATACATAATTTTGATGATGGTGTGAGTCCTCACAAATACCATTCAAATGTCTGAAAACCAACATACTCACACTCAAACTATTTTTTGCTACCATAGCAACGAATTTAGAGGTCTGTGTTTCATATTTCATGGGTTAATAGCTTAAGGTGGGTTTGTGTATTACCTGATGGGACTGCTTGGCTCAAATTCAGCACGCCACATTTTATATACAATAATGTCTTTGTAACTTGTAACTTATGTGTACAGAATATTATTGTGAATAATTTATATGGATTATATAGGGTGACCAAAAAAATGTGACCATCTAATTATAGAGTGTTGGATTTTTCGTGTCCCTCTGTATGTCAACTGGGAATATTTTTTTATTAATGAGTATTTATAGATGAGATTCAATAAAGAAGAAATTAAACCAAATAAAGAATATTATAAGACCCTCTTCATATTGAGTAAGTCCTGTAAAAATAGTGGCAATATTTCAATTTAAAGGGACACAGACATTTTAAATCGTGAGAGGTGTTCACATTATAGAGGTTTTTACATACACACCTTTCAATACATGGTAGAGCATAAGATTCTCATATGATATATCACTACTATGAAGGACAATTGAATTGAAAATTATGGGACTTATTTTAAATTATGATTTGTAAAAACAGATTTTTGTTATTGATATTATCATTGTGTAACCATGGTAAAATCATGAACAATAATTAATGAATGAATCACGATCCTAATCATTTTTGAGAAATATGGTAAGTTTTTTTGTTCCATAAAAAGTAACTGAAATCCTCAAGAAGGTGTTCAATATTGAATCAGAAGTCAATACAATTTGTTTTGAAATTTATTTATTTGCAAAACTTGAATTTTGTGAGATTTGTTGAACCTGTAGTAATAATGTTAATAATGATATCTGTAAAAATTGTTTTATATAAATAATATTTATACTACGATTGTATGGTGTTTGTTACATACATTATCATATTTTGTTAGATGCATTTTCGGGTATGTCCCGTTCAATAGATAATATTCATCCTATCATGATGACAAGGAAGATATTTTTGAAGTATTTCTAAAAAGTCACATCATTCGAGAGAATAATTGTTAATTTGAAGTTGTGCTGTCATGACAGGGAACACATTTACTAATTTAAAGAAGAAAATATCCTATCATGACAAGGAATGTGTAAACTATTCCTGCTGTACTAATAATTCCTAGACATTGCCCATGACCTATTTATTAAACATGTATCGTTATTTAAAGAATAATCATGTGTGTTTACTGTGATACTTTGGGAGTAATCAATTGATGATGACTTTCATGTGCTATATATCTCTTTCCATTTAACAAATATGGAAGCATCATTTTTCAATTGATAATGACTATGTGCAGTAAAACCTGCCAAGTGGAGCACTTCTACAAGTGGAACACCTTTGTAAGTGGAACTTCTCTGTAAGTGAAACACTCCACAGTCCTGTGATCCATTGACTTAATGTTAACTGAATCTCTATAAGTGGAACACTTTTAAGAAGCATTCAGGGCATTCCACTTACGCAAGTTTGACTGTATTTCACTAAACATTGATCATATAGTGTTCCATCCATTTTTTGTAACATAAGAAATTGTCATTGAAGCACAGTACCAGAACTGTGTAAAATATAAACTGTAGATCATACATTTGGATGTATATCATACATTTGGATGTACATCATACATTTGGGTGTATATCATACATTTGGATGTACATCATACATTTGGATGTATATCATACATTTGGATATGGTTTGGATGTGTAAGTTTGAGTATATGTGTATTATACTAAAATGTGTGTAAATTATTAGGTTTAATGAAGTCTGGATGGACTTGAATTTATAACAATTTTTAAAAGAAAGTTCCAATGAATAAAGCTTTCATTTGTAAGTAAAGGTTCTTGTTTGTTAGATTCTTTTAGACCAGGACCGTAGCCAGGGGCTCGCAGCCCCCCTGGTCAAAAATTCTTTCAAAATCATGCAGTTTTTCTCCATTTTGAGCACTTCTCAAGTGATTTTTGCCATATTTGGGCCATCATGATATACCATGACATCTCATTTCTTCTCAGCCCTGAGATTCAGGTGAAACAGAAAGATGCTAGGAGTATCAGAATGTATTTGGGCCAAAATTGTCAAATGTGAACCCCCCTGGAAATTTTTGAAAACTGAACCCCCTTGGCAAATCCTGGCTACAGGCCTGTAGACTCTTGTCTTTTACATTCCATTGTTCTACCAAGTCCTTCAGTATTAAAGTGGCATTGAAGAATAGAGTGTGTTAATTATTGGAAACAATCCATCATAAAGGGGCCCCATGTTTCCTTCACCGTGATTATTATGTCACCACCACAAGTGATGTCATATTGTTAGTCTCCAACTTTCTGTGGCTAGCACATTTTTAAGCATTTAAAGGTGGTGACATTTGTCATGTTAAGTTCCTTCTTGGACATTGTTTCTCTTAATATTGTACTATTGACCTGGTCAAAAAGGAACCAATGAATGTAAAATCTCACTAAATCAAGGTGTTTGAATAATATGATTTAAACATTTGTAAAGATGGACGTTGATGTCATCCGTGAGCAATGCAGTGAAATCCCGAACAATAATTGAAACAGTTCTTCCATAGTTGCTAAAGCGCCCATAGTTAGATTCTCTACATTATTATTTTGTGTTTAAGTGTAATATGATGTAGTCTTATCTATCGTGATGTATTTCTTCCCTTTGCCGAAATATACACCGGATTTCTTTGGGTTCTGAAATGGAAGAAAATCCTAGTTTCAACTTGTTACATGTTCCCCGCCTTAAATTAATATCAGTGGTTTATTTTGGAAGTATTTACAATAATAGGCCCACTTACTATTTCGAAAATTTCAAAGAATATAAATCGTTGTTGATGTTTCTCTGAACTTAAGATCAAAATAGGATAACGTATTTATACAGTATCTCTTAGCATAATCGAAATAAAAATACATGATATTTTTTAAAGTAACTTCAATTAAAAGCCCAGGGGCTTTAAAAGGAGAAAAAGCAAGAATATATTTTTATTATCAATGAAAGGAGAGCATATAGTGTGAAATAAACATAAAAAACAACAAAACATGTTATAATTTGATAAGTAAGTGAGGTATTTTATTACCTGTGATAATTCTAAGAAACATGAATATTAATTGTAAATTCATAATACATACATGAAGTCATGTACATGTATGTCTTATTAAGACATAACATGGAAATTAAAGTCCGACTTATCCCGTGCTGCTCACATAGACCGTAATAACGCTGACATGTCAACAGAAGGAATTTTTTCGAACGAAGAACTACGATCCAGATATATACGATTGTCTCTTAAAGCCAAATAAGATACAAAAACAGGTCCAGTAGGGGAGTTGGAGTTGGAGAAAGTGTACAATTGAACTACAACGAAACAGTTCCATTTCTTCATCCTCGAGCTTATAGGGTAAATCACCATTTGGTCTATGTCTCTACAGTCATGCTAAAGAAGATTGATATCTAGTATATACAATATCTCATAATACTGGTGCAAGTTGCATAAAATCTGTAATAAATGAATACAAGGAATACCACGGGTGTTAAAACACGAATATACCATGAGCACATGCTTTGAGGATCCGCGTTGTTTGAACCTACCGCCGAGCACACGTATACATTAAGACCCGTTACACAGTCATGATACCGCCGAGCAAGCTCATTGCATCATCGGGTCTGCTTTACCCCCGTGGAATACCATTTTACGAAACGTGCTCCAAATGCCGAAACATGCCAAACTCACCCGACGTGAATGGATTTAGACCAATGAAACTTGGTAGAATGAAAATACATTACACAAGGTTTAATTGTGCCAAATATGACTTCAAACCCATTCTGAATGACTGAGTAATAACATTTGTTTGGGTTACCTTTCTTTTGGCTCACCCTGTAATCTCTTATATATGCTTGTACTTAGATACAATGATATTATAGGTAATTTTGGTAAAGGTCATTGCCTTACATCATCTATTTTAGCCTCGATTAGGCGACGACAAGAAATGTAGCTAAGTGTCGGTGGAATGTTATTTCACCGAGCTACAAATAAGACGCGATGGAATTTATATTCTTATTCCTCAACCGCGTAAGAGGATTTTATTAATAGAATTGTTTTACACTAGAGAAAGAAATGTGAACAAGAGAAAATTCTACCAAGACCTGAATGAGTTGTACAATGAAGAGGATATAAAATATTATTATACAATAACACGAATCGGATTATAATAGAATAGCAATTAAAGTGTGTAGAATAAAGACTGAAGTGCAGAAATAGACCATATCTCTGTACACTCCCCTCCAAATATTTGGTAACTGATCCCTATTAGCCTTGCCCAAGTCGGTATTTTTTCACTTATCTGATCTTGAATTATTATCATATATAATAGAAATCAAGATAAGTAAAAGAGACCGACTTGGGCAAGGCTGATCCCTATTTACATTTCTTAATCTCATTAGGTTTGAAAGGGAGTGTAGCTTAATGTCATATTATTTCAATTTATATCCGTATTATTGGCCTTTTATATGATGTGACAAACTATTTAAATATTAATTATAAGGAGACAAATAGGTTAAACATTACTATCTTGACGTTGCCATTGAGTCATAGTTTATATGTGCGAATCATTAGGGAGTTTAAGCTTGCACAATTTTCACAACCTGAACGCAAACGTAAGTTGTTTAAGCGATACATTTGCATGGACGATTGGTCATACTAATTGGTTGGCGTTTCGATTTTATATGCATGCTTAAACTCTCCATTTCCTAAAATGTACGTTTACGAAATTTAATCGTTCTTTTATTTATAAACGTGGACATTTACGTCGTCTTTTATAAATCTCTGTGAGTACCAAACGTAGAACATTCTCTGGAATGACGTCATGATAGGCTCGTTTGATTTACGAACTAAATGTGGATACTTTTCCCGAAATACTTTCGTTGCCTCCTCGAGGCGATAATGCGGAATTTTTGAGAATAGATGGTGCACCTGGTGCGTTCCGATATTATGCGTCAGCGCATGCGCCCAGCCATAATGACGGTCCACCGTTGATAATTGACCAATCACATTCGACCATTTAGCATCAGCGAACCATGGTACATTGACGTCATGGTGATGGAGGAAGGTCACAATGACCAGCCAGGACATGAACACGAAGCATGGCACAGCGTAATACGTCAATATAGAAATATACCCGAAATAAAATCCGTATACTGCAAGACATCCTATCCATATGCATAGACAAGCCAATGAAATAATACACTGGAATAAATGCTTGATAAACATGTCTTCAAAGGGATTGAAATGGGAAAGATTTCGAGGAGAAAATCCATTGAATAAATACACAATCCAACTTAGTCCAAACCCGAACAGTGGCATTACTTTGAACTTTTTGTCCTTGCGATCTTTGTCTCTCACCGGATAAAATACTTCCTCCTTGTCGATGTTACACGTATTCTTATGGTGATGGTGATGGGACAGCTTCCATGGATAATATGGTACAAGAATGAACGTGTGTAATATATTCCCAAGGACGTCATTCACAAGTGTGTATTTCGAGAAGGACGAATGTCCACAATCGTGGCCTAAAACGAACAGCGACCAAAATAAAGTTCCGGTTAAGAACCAATAGAAAGGTAGAGAAAGTAAATAAATTATGAAAGTAGTTCTTTCTATATATGACATCACGAGGACTAAAGCTGCGATCATGGCACAATCCTTTCCAACATAGAATAACGACTGTAGGAGTGATGACTTAAAACAGTGCTCTGGTAGCGCGTTTTTCAACTCTATGATTGATGGAACGTGTTCTATTGAAGCGACGCCATTGTCCCCTTTCGTTGTCGTCTCGTTGTCGTCATTCCTAAGTGCACCTTTACGTTTTGAGGTTTGGCCGTTTGAATGAATTTCATTGGTTGAACACCCTGTGTTGTATGATGTCATGTTTCCTCTGAAATTACAAAATAAGTTTTAGAAATCCATGTTTTAGATGTCCATGGCGTCGGTAGGGAATTTAAATTAATGCTTTAATGCTTCATTCCTCCGAAAATACCGATATTTTACAATATAAGATCGTGGCTTATTGCTGGAGATTTCAATTATATCTTTAAACGACAATTGCGTCCCAACTACGCGTTTAATTACAATGAAAACTAATACATGGCATGTATAATTAAATACCAGATAGACATGAGCATGCAATCTAATAATCATTAATAATAATGATCTAGTACAACAGAAATACGACTTACAAAATTGTAACTTGCTATTCTTATTTTTACTATTCACATATTCTCGTCTTTTACCGTATCGATATGGTTACCCTCCGCCCACTTTTAAAGGCCTCATTATGATAATTTCGAGAAGATTATCTAAAAATTCTGAATAAAGTTGCCGCATCATAGTTATACACCATTGGTCATAAATTGAAATCAGTGTTAAATGCTAAAAACGCAAAATACTCCAAATATATGAGCAACAGTGTATAAAACACGCTTTAACAGCCTTGTAGTCTTTTTATAGATAGAATCGCCTACCTTGATGAGTATCCGTATTAAAACAGTAATTTGGCTAGACCTCTGCTACTAGGCCTAGGTGGTAATAGCCCTGACAAATGAGATTTTTGAGATGACAATGTTTCTACGTATACAGCATTTGAATATGAATACATTTACAGAAGCACGGCGTCTTTGGAAGATGTTAAGGTTAGTATTGAGAAACACACAATTTGCAAGTGATTGGCTTACGGTAAAGTGTCCATCCATTTGAATGCAAGATCGATACGGCAGAACCCCAGGCGCATATTATTGCAGTTTCTGACGCATGTAAATCTTACTAAATATTTCATGCAACTTTACATTTCAGTTTAGAACGTGTATATATTCCAGGCTTTATTCACGCTAATTTGATCCGCCATGATTATTAATCGATGCTGCATTTATTATAACGTTCGTGCTTCGTGCATTTGAACCAATTGCGAATATACGTGCACATTATGTATTTTACTTGATATAATCGATGCAAGGCTTCGAATACCCCCTGGGCGATGTTGTCGACACAAATAGGTTGCGAGTATTAATTTTATCACGTTCTTTTTCATCTTATTCACGAGGATGTATTTTTAGCACTGAGAGGAATACGCTTAGAACTCAACTTCTTTTGTTACACTGGATATGCTAATTTGGCTCTAGGAATACCCATGTCACCACAATGAAATACTCATTGCATATTTCATCGAATGTCTCAAATCAGTTTTTGGGCATTTTGTTTGAGATTGTAAGGAACACATTACCATGTTCATTTGAAATATTTCCTACAGTTTACAATCGCTATCATTTGCGTTCTACCTAATACACCCTATGCAGACAGAGCCTGTGGGAAATATTGGGTGCGGCGCAAATGAGCGGAGGGTGCGGAGCTAACGGTCATTTTTGAATTTAAAATTGGGATATTTCTGAAACTAAGCCGTTTTGGGACTTCAAATATACCAAGATATGTGTATTTGACACCAAATATCATTAAAATTATGAAAATAGTAGTGCAATTCATTTTATAGCGACGCAGTATGCCTTAAACATATCCCAGACCTATTTATTTTGAGACTATCCTTTTAATACTGCGTCCCCAGCATTCATAAAAAATGGTGTTCAAGATACACTACCCATGCAAATTATTTTTGCATCTTGGAAGCCAGGCAGTATCTGTGTGATTTTATAAAAATTCGGAAATGTTCTTCAGATATGAGCCCCTCTAAATATTGGGTGCGGAGCTACGTTTATGGAGCTGCTCCGCACCCAATATTTAGAGGGGCTCATATCTGAAGAACATTTCCGAATTTTTATAAAATCACACAGATACTGCCTGGCTTCCAAGATGCAAAAATAGTTTGTATAGATAGTGCACCTTGAACACCATTTTTTATGAATGCTGGGGACTCAGTATTAAAAGGATAATTTCAAAATATATAGGTCTGGGAAAGGTTTAAGGCACACTGCGTCGCTATAGAATGAATTGCGCTACTATTTTCACAATTGTATTGATATTTGGTGTCAAATACACATATCTTGGTATATTTGAAGTCCCAAAACGGCTTAGTTTCAGAAATATCCCAAATTTAAATTCAAAAATAACCGTTAGCTCCGCACCCTCCGCTCATTTGCTCCGCACCCAATATTTCCCACAGGCTCTGTCTGCATAGGGTGTAATATTACGTTCAGCATTTTATACTCTGTATCATTTCATCACTACTAACTGCAAGAAACACGGGCCTTGAATATCCAGCTAAGACGTTTAAGTTAGTAGCTACTAGCTATAGATAACGTATCCACGGATCGATATGAAAAAATCGATGCGGCTAAAGGATGATGAACTCACAAGCGGGGAATAGATACAACGAGAAAAGAACAGTGAAACCTTTATATTTGAACACTCTATTATATAAACTCTCAATCTGGACACTTTTCTCGGTACCAAGGGTATCTCGAATTGACTTACATATTTAAAAACATTGAAATGTAAACACCTTGTAATTTTATATTTGAACACTCTGTAATATGAACACCTCTCAATCTGGACACTTTTCTCGGTACCAAATTGGGTATCTCGAATTGACTCACATATAAAAGAAGCTTAAAATGTAAACACCATGTAATTTTATATTTGAACACTCTGCAATGTGAACACCTCTCAATCTGGACACTTTTTCTCGGTACCAAATTGGGTATCTCGAATTGACTTACATTTTTAAAAACCTTGAAATGTGAACACCTTGTAATTTGAACATTTTGGTTAGCCCCACTTGTGTTCAGATTAGATAAGTTTTACTGTAGATCTATAAAATCTCAGATGTTCGAAATACGTCGAGCAAACTTACTATTAATTAATCCAGCTTAAATAAAATTATTCTCAGCGTGTCTCGACGTGGGCTTAAATTTTTAGACTATGTATTAAAGCTTCATGTGTTATAGTATAGATAGTGTAAAAATAACAATAAAAATAAACACCCCTGTTTGCTCCCCACATCACGATTTTATTATATTCTGATATCCGAGATATCTGATTGAAAATACGAAAGGAATTTAAGATAAATATTGCAGAACTGTCCAAAAATTTTCGAGCGATCTTTAAAGTCTCGGTATTTTGTGAAATAAAACTAGAACACTGGAATTCTTAAATAAAAGGTATAACAAGAAACAATGGGTAGAGAGAATTTGACATTTCAAATTTATTGAATTAAGGCACTAGTGCCTTGCCTTCAGTAAAACCTACACCGGGTCGTTCAATAAATTCGCGAATAAATGCTCTCATTTCAAAGGTTTTAAATGTTTTCACACAACATTAAAAAATATCCACCTTTCAATGTGCACATTTTCTATCAAATCTCTAATCTGGCTAAATAAACCATGTCAAAAAATCTCGAAATTTGGAAACGTTGCAACCCGAAAACCTTTAAGCCGGCCGGTCTTATTGGCTTTTGTATTACACCCCCCCCCCCAAGTTTGACAACAGTAAGTTTCATTGGATTGTAAAGTGAAAACCTGACGATGTTCCGATGTTTCGATCTTAATCGTGTCCCTTAACAATAGTTAAGAAGTTTATGACTTATGATTTTTTTTAAATCGCCAAACAGTATGTTCTTCCCCCTGCTACAACCAATTTGGAAGCCCCCGATTAAACTGAATCACGTGATCTAAGTATGCGCAATGACTTATACATGATTTCTGTCGCAGTGTTGCGACAGCCAATCAGATTGCGAGTTCTTGATCGGGTGAATGCTAACTGCTTATCGCAGGAGGTAAAAAGAACGAATATATTCTGGATTTTGAAGCTCTGTGATCGGAGGATGTGATACAAGTGAGTGATTCAAGATCGTACTTCTGTTTGCACAACTTATGGAGGGGAGTGTAGATTCGTTTTACCGAATATTATATTTTTAATTAGATAGAAAGTGTAAACTACTAGTATGAGGTCGTAAAGAGTACGGAATAAACGACGTGATATGAATTAATTGGCCATGGATATCTTATTCACGCCTAACCATCGAAAACGTACAGTGACAAAATATACCGTCGTACACTTTAGATATACGGTGTCACTATTCTAACTGATATGAAGCAAAAACGATGATGTGGGTGTGGTGTAGGTTTTAAAAATTAATCTGAGGAATACTTAAAGAGATTTTATGTTTAATTTCGTGTGTATTCGATTTGGAAGACATTTACCTTTCTAATTCCGTGAAAAGATTTTCGGGAAGTGCTCGAGTTTTTTCGTAGTAAATCTACCCACCAACAATGATCGGTTGGAAAATGTTAGTTTTTTCACATTTCCTTTGGTCATTTTTTCCCCTGTCGCCTATAGCTAAGAGTGTCGATTATTTTTATGAGAATATGTTTCCCAAAGTTACATAATTAAGGCCGTCGATTGAAGATTTAATAAATATTCACGTTTTTGCTAAAATAATAAAAATATATAAACCATAAGTGTACGTTGTCATCTCGATGTACGTTGTCCCATTGAACTTAAACTAAAAGTATTGGCTTACTTCTCATCTATTGAGATATCAAGTAAACCCTCATTCCGCAATTTTGAAGAATTTTGCAAACCCTATACGGAAACCCATCAGCAAGTTTGTGTTTGCTTTTACTCAATTTCGTCGTCAGCGTGATAATGAATCGTTATGAATATAGCCCAGAGTAAGGATACTACGGTTACCGCTGGTTATTTGGTTTACAGTAAAAAAAGCTTTTTTCTCCCTTTTCTGGCCCAGCACAGCGCCATCTAGTGTTTGGTAAACGAAATGAAATTAATTCTTGATAGGGTAAGTACTAATCTATCAGAAAACATTTCAAAGTTTGGTAAGAAATATCATATCTAGAGATGGGCGGAGTAATTTGCGAGACTATATAAAGCAGTAAAATGTTCAAAAATCAGGGAGGTTATGGGGGGTAGGTCTCTTCAAGTTAATTTTTCTCAAAATCGGTGTGGTCATCGTATGTTTATCTTGTAATGGCAAGCTAAATGGGACTCTAATGAACACTGGAAACTGTTTCACTGAGCTAGATCTGTGCCCATGAATATTTTATGAGATGAAATGTTATAATGTTCCTCAATGAGATTTAGTACAGCAATCTTGACCCTATACGAATGGAAAACAATAAACAGGTTAATTTCGGACTACTATCGAATTAGATTAATTCGAGAAAAATGATAAAAGCAAATTGGATTAGATCCATCACATTGTAATGAACTGACAAGATTCATCTTTTATCTGGTTTACACCCTTTTATTAATTTTTTTTATCAAACACGAGTCGCATCACTATTGAAATAATATATGATGATATATGAGAGACATCACTCTAAGTACCATGAAAACCAAACCACCAGTACTCATATTCATTATGTATATATTATCATATTCTTTCTCGCAAAACATTTCAAATAAAAACAAATGTAAGCCAAGGAGCCCATCAGTGATCTAAAGACAAAAGAGATGAAAATGTTTCCCGCCCGTTTCCAGTCATTTCACACTGCTGAAATACGGCAATATAAACCTCACCTTATTTTCTGTGATTTTTGCGTTTCAGTAACAATATCCAGCTCTCTTCAAATTAGTCTCTTTAAATCCGTTATTGCTCGTTCTCTCGACGAAATCTCTTGAATCTGCGAGGCATATGTTACCCAGCGTTTCTTTCTCTTACCAATGTAATATATTATTTATGTAACATATGTAAAAATATTCATTTACAATTCGATTGTTCAATCACAAATCAATTCTCGAGCCGAATGTAGAATCTTACACCACAGCTTCTCGCTTGTACGACAATAGCGAATTCGAAATGAGTTTTTTCATGAACCGCAGGGTTCCCGATATTGCTGTCTGCTATTACCGCTTACCATATAGAAGGCTAAATTGAGACCACCAAACCAATACTTGACACATTGTGTTAACTGCTATTCTCGGTTCTCACCTTATGTTTTACTCTCTTTGAGAAAATTACTATGTCTGACCTTTATTGATATTGCAATTTACCTTTCTTTCATACAAGGCTCATGTAAAGATAGCAATCAATTCGCCTTATTGTATTCGTAGGAATCACAATTTGCGAGGGAGAGATAATGAACGAGATCCTAGAAGTCTTCGCTCTCAAATCTTGTCAGTACACCAACGGTGAATTTCTCATTATAATTCACGCAATCCAGTCGATCACTCAGACTTATGGAACAGCAAGCTCTCAAAGGCAAGCATGATGTATTTGAAAGTATTTCATTAATACGAATATCATGTATAGGTACTATTCCCCGAGTGCCGACAATTACTGCACAGGGGAATGGATCTGTAATATTGCGAAAGACGATATTGAAGCCGATCAATCCTAATAGTAGATCACCTCGATGAAAGGGCACGTTGCTTCTATTGATCCCCAGATTGAAATATGAACGTCTTCATTACAGATCCATAAAAAGTGTGTTATCATTACATGGAAAACCCGAACAGCGAAATGCAGAGGTGCAAGTATCTAGTGAGTAAGTAATAGGCCTATATTTATAGAAAGCGGCCTCGAGATTTTTATTGTTAATGTAAATGTAGTATCACCCTTTCCAGCAGTTTTTGTCACATTGGCAATATCCATGAAGATCGTCAACGTAACAAAAGCGAGGGACTAAATATGTGAATTGCGTCTTCGTCAATATTCCAAACATAGAACCGCCTGCATATTCTTAAACTAGACTATCTTCCTTAACTTTGAGCCAACAAATTATTGTCCACAACTTGACTTATAAGTGGTGTAGAATCGAGAAATAAAAATATCTTATCGAAAACGAAGCCTTCTTCCAGTTCTTCCATCTTGTTACTGACGCTGACGTATCGTCAGAGTAACTAGGTGAGTACCAGTGGTGTTCAACATTTACGTTCCCTAGAACGCGTTTTACCCGGGACTAATTACATAACCACTTGCCCCAACCTGGTTATAAAGACGTTACGTAAAAAGCTAGTCAGTCACGAGCAAATATATCCAGCAGCTCCAATCACTGGTGATCCACTCGATTACGCTGGTACCGTTTCGGTAACAAAATGTCGGAACATCGAAGGTACGATTTTTCTTTTTCACACGTTGTAGGCAGAATTCCCACGACATTTTTAACACAAACGTGTATCAGTATCATATGTTTAAGGAAATGTTTGCGAACAAATAGTTCAGAAGACAACAGAATCGTCGATTTAATTCCTCACTTAAGTTACAGAAACGGTACTTCGAAAAACGGTTAAGATCTGCACTTTTAACCCAAACCGTTTCTGTAACTTAAATGAGGAATTAAATCAACGATTCTATTGTCTTCAGAGCTGATTTTTCGCAAACATGTACATTTTCTAAAACATATGATACTGATACACGTTTGTGAGAAAAACGTCGTGGGGATTGAGTCTACAACGCGTGAAATAAGAACCGTTTCGGTAACCAGCATAATCGAGCGGATCACCAGTGCAATAATCGAGTGAAAACTCCTCATTTCATCAACCAGGACGTTATCTGGTGAATTTCATAGCGTCTTTGTTGCTCTTTGTTATGGCCTGTTGACGTCCTGGTTGCTGAAGTGAGGCACTCTCACTCGATTATTGGAGCCCTTGTATGGACGTATATAGTCGTTTACTGATTCGCATTTCAGTAACCTGGTGCTACTATTAACACAAGGGTAAAATATTTGGATACAGATCGACCCCCTTCTTGGTGAAAATGATGAAAATAAATATTGATCCATTTTGTTATAAAGACGTTATCAGGTGGGGACAAGTGATGACGTATGCTTTCGAGCCTTTCGTAGTGTATTATTCCAGATATTACGCCTATTTACTGAATTTCCATTTTTCGGACTTAGGAGAGATAGATCGATATGGATTTGTGTGGGAGACATCTCGGATCGATACTTTAAATCAAGAGTCGCGTAGTGAGCTTATATTGTTTTTTCGATGCGAGGATTTACATTGAAATTGGTTGAGTTAATATTGATGGATCTGTCTGGGAGACATTTGAGATCGATAATGATTATCAAACATCATATAAAATGTAAACATGTCCTATTGAAAATCCCCCTCTAGTGAACACCTGTCTCTAGTGGAAATCCTCCTCCGACTATACTGATTTCTGTAAAATCAAAATCGAAGATGTACAGATATCGTACACATTTTGTCACCTCTTACTAACCGGATACTTTAATTTCTATACAAACTCATGTGTTGATGTTTTTTGCTTCATCACATTTAAGACCGATGTAAAGATGGCAGAATAGGTCAATTGAATACACTGCCATCTTTTTTAATACAATTTATATCACTCGTTTAGTCTGTTGTTTTACAGCAAGAATGAGAATCCGAAGATTCTGAAACATCATAACTTACCGTCTTCTCTCCCACGAGCGCACAATGCGCTCCCCGAATTGAAATTTAAAAGGGTAAGATATTGCGATCAGATGTTGCTATGGAAATTGAATAGAGAACAGGGGAAAAGTCAGGCTGCCAATAAATGAAGCGTTTTACAAAAAAAGAAGACCAGCAGACAGGAAAAAAATAGTGAAACAAGCAGGCAAGAAGGTGCTTTAACGAGACTGTTGGCTGCGAAAATAAATTCCAAAAGGACGATTCTCGGTTTGGAGAACGAAGTTCATCAATCTAAATGAGCATTATCCCTGCTTCGGACAAATTTGATTTTTTTACATAATATAGATTTGAATGTCTTCTTTTGAATAGTCATAATTTAATTTGGGTAATATTTCTAGATTTTTCGCAAAAAAATATTAGCGCAGTACACTGATGAACTTCTTTCCCCAAATCGAGACTTGTATTTTATTGAATCGGTCTATTTGAGCATTATCCCTGCTTCAGACCAATTTGTTATTTTTACATCTTGTAGATTTAATTGTCCTCTTTTGAATATTCATAGTTTAATTTGGGTAATATTTCTATATTTTTCATGAAAAAATTTTTAGCCCAGGAGGCTGTTCTCCAAACCGAGAATCGTCCTTTAAAATCACAGCTATATGCTCATAATTTCACCAGTGTTAGTGATCCCTTTTGTAAATGTGGATTACCACAAACACCTTCTCATTTTATCTTAAAATGTCCTCTGCTTGTAAACGAGCGTGAAACTTTATTTGCAGGACTGCGAACTTCAGATCTTCATCTTTTGGTTCAGAATTTGAACACAGTTGACAAAATTCAGTTTCTTTTGTATGGTGATGAAGATTTAGATAATTCATTAAATGAAAAATTAATAGAACTTATGAGTCATTTTGTTAAAGTCTGAGCCAAATTGATCGGTTTGGCTAATTTTTGCATGCATGTGTTAACACATCCCTGGCCCATGGGATTATAGTTTCTTATATGAGTGAAAACATTACTTTGATAAATTTTAACGTATTCCTATTCATATTGTCTAAAATTGCCGCTAATGTTTTTTTATAAAACTTTGGCAATCAATTGCATGTCTTCTATTGTTTACTAAAGGAATAAATTTATGTATAAAAAAAATAAAAATAAATTCAAAAGATAAAACGGAGAAAACAGAAGAAAACTTTTTGGATGAAAATCATTACGTAGACAATCAAAATTTCAAGATGGCGACAAACACAAACAAATTCAGCAAAGAAAACGAAAATGCACTTTCGGAAAGTATTCAGAAATCGCTAAAACTAGAATTTTCTGCCCTGAGAAGCTCAAATGAGGAGATAACTAAAAAACTCGAAGCTATGTGCGAATCTTTCGGGAAAAGAATGGAACAGGTCGAAAAGAAAATAGAAAACTCCGAACAAAAACAGAACGACTTCCATTCCAGATGAAGGTTGAAAAGGAACCGCAAAACTTGAACTTTGTGTTAAATCTCACAATAAGAAACATAGAATTGGATATTTTTCAACGAAAGAACAATACTATGATTTATAATATACCTGAGGTGACGAGAGAAGATGTCCTAAGCGTCAATCAAAACGAAACTAAAGAGCCAGCTCGACGTAAACGAGGAATCTATAATGGCGGCTTATCGCATTGGAAAACCGAACGTACATGACGTAACACAGAACCGAACGAAAGTCAGACCGATTCTGGTGCAATTGAACTCAACGATAATGGGAGACAAGATCAAGCGGAAAGCGTGGTCGACAAGGGGGCCAGCGGAAACGAAAGTAATAATAGGAGAGGATCTACCAGAAGAAGCCAGAAGGATAAAGAAAAGGGCGTATACAGAGGTTATAAAGCCAGCAAAGGAGTCAGGCAAGACCCAAATTCGATGGAATGGTCTAAAATACACATAGACAATATCAAGGGGAATATATAGGGAGGAACTAAAGTCTCTCTCGGTACAAAGAAATTAAAGGATGTGTATTGAATGTCACATAGCATTGACTATAGAATGAGGTAAACCTATAATTATATTGCAGCATTTGCATAATAGAACCAATTTTAAAATGTACAGGAAACAAAAAGTCCCTAATTAGAAAAAACGAAACAATGATATATTATAAGTAACACATCGAAAATAGATTAATAAACAAAATATGTCCAATGCTATGGTGGACATTTAAGAACACACTTCGCTTATTCAGCATAGCTAGGCTAGGCAAATGGAAGTTTAACATCCCAAAAATTGCAACAGTTTTTAAATTAGGCTTATATTGTATATTGATACCAGTTGAAAAACATATCAAAAATATAGAAAAATATATGCAGTGGACAAATATGAAATGTCACATTCTAGGTACCCCCCTCCAAATTTGAGTATGGGATTGTAAATATTTTTTAATTTCAAATTGAAATGCTCTTGTCAACTAAATGAGTAATATTATGATAGTTTACTGACATAAGCGCAACTAAAAATTGTTAACCAACTATTTGAGTGCAATAATTGGCATTTCTAGCCCCAAATATCTGAAAATAGGCCATCAAATAGCCCGAATTTGATATAACAATATATTTATTTCTGTATCAATTCATCAGAATTGCATGAAAAAAATCAAGGAGGTTAATGTATACCTGAAAATTGTATTTAATCAGTATCAGGGTCATTAGTTGAATATTGAGGGTGATAATAATATTTGAAATTTCAATATTTTACCACACCAACTTTTGGGGTGACCTTACTTTTGTTTAATTACTTCCAAGATATGTCATATTTGAACTCAAAAGCACAACTAAATTATTTGTAAAGGCTTATTTTTTCCTGAAAACAGTTATTTGATGTTTCCAGGGAAGGATTATTATTATTACTTATTACAATTCACACGATGACACTGACATTGACATGTGTCTGTTTTTAGAATCCAGATAAATGGTGCAAAAAACATTGAGGTTAGACCACAAAAAAAACAAATGTCTTACATGTATTTTATATGTCAAGGTTCTACTTCTCAACTCAGTTTTTGATATAATTCTAGTGACAGTTCCTAAGACCATATGATCGTTCTCAGTGTAGGAGCATATAAATTGAGAAACACACATGTATGAATCCATAAAAATTGACTTTAGTGACATGTCCATTAGATTGGACATTCTCATGGCATTGTTTGAAACGGTTTTCCCAGATATGCTCGATTCCGCATAGAATGCCCTTTTTACACTCATAATCACATGACTGTTCATTATACTTAGAGGTTGACATGCCTCGTCGGTAACGTATAAACTTTGCAAAGTAAGGACTGTTCGTCTCTTTGAAGCTGTCTACAACCTTTGTAAGCGATGCCGTACTTATGTCATTGACCCCATACGCTTCTGTGAATTTATACTCGAGTTCCCATTCTGCGTTTTCTGGATCAGCGTTTGCCTTTGTAAGGTTCATATAGTATTGCCATATATCTGTAAGTTTGACATCCGTAGTTTCGTATCTGACCATGCGCAGTGTAGGGTTTCCGCCATACCACGAGGTACCACATGTTGCAGGTGATATAAACGCAGATCCTACTATTTTATCTCCTACAAAGAAAGCACGTTATGAATAGCTCAGTAAATAACAATTTATTTTGGGCAGTTGAAGTCGATAATCAAAAATGGTTGCAGGCTGTCTGTGAATGATGCGTTACAGACTATATGGTCATTACACTCACTTTAAAGCAAGATAAAATGTACTCAACCTCAAAAATAATTTCCAAAGCAAAAGTGAAATGGGTGCACAATTATTGAATTATTGGAAAAACCAAAAATGTTTTTTAAGTAGGCAATATATAAGAAGTGCAGATTATACGAGGGGAGTGCGTCCCGTGTACATTTATTTCGAAACTAGAGGAGCCGAATTCCTCCAGACTTTGGTGATTCATGAAAGAATCGAAGGTGTACATTCCGGTGTGTATTAGGGCAGAGACATTTTTTATATGTTTTATATGGTTTACGGTTATAGTTACATGTATCGAGAGCAATGGGTAGGGGGTTGCAATATATACCTGATTTGTTGTTTATCATTCGCACTGTGTCAGCATGAGTGTGTCCATAGTACTGTCCAATGATTATGTCCGAATATTTAACAACAATGTCGTTGAAACGGTCGCTGAATTTCTTTGTGAGATCGCTATTGGCAGAGTCTTCATTATTCCCTAGTGCTATGTGAGCAGCTATGTGAGTCTAAATCAAATATTAAGTTACTTTTAGATTCATGTGTACATTTTAAAAATAGTGATTCTTGAAAATAATGAGTTATAAATACGTGATATAAAAATGAATCATTTTTTCAAATATCTACGTCTCGTTTGGTGAGAAACTGTGAGAGTCTGTATCTCAAATTCTATCTGATAGAGTGGAAATCTTTGCTAATGTTATGTTCAGTGTACAGTACAAATCTCGTACTAAGAAGCCCATAACAAACAGGGGAATTTTCCACAACGTGAGATGGAAATTTCCATTACTTTTTTAGTACCCTCTTCTCATTATATGGAAAACAAAAACAAAGTATGAAGAAACAAGAGCAGACGAGCTTAACCCCATTATCCTACACTGTGATAAAATGCAAAAACGTAACCTAACAACCCCCCACCCACTCCACTTAAACAACAATACCGTTCTATAATGGTTACTACAGTATGTTTCGAATTGGCTCGTTTTGTAGAGTTTACTTTGTCCTTACGTACTATTCCACCAGCAGCCTTTATTCGCTCCAGTTCATCCTCCAACCATTTGAATTGTGAGGCTGGGTCGTTTAAGTTTCGTGTCGCACCATTTTTCACCATCCATAGATTTGTGTTCAAGATAATAATGTTTTCTCCTTCTCTGATAGTGCCAGAGTAATAGCCTCCTATAAAAGGTACACCTTTGATGATAAGGGCAAAATTGTCAGAGTTGTTTGAAACTAGCGATCGAAGACAAAATGTCATCAAGCTATAGCTAACCAAAAAAAGAAAAAAATCTTACCAAATGCTCCTATTTCATTTCGGCCATTTCGGCCATTTTTAAACGAGGCGAAACCTCCCTCGTTCTCATTTCATCCCCAGTGCATAAGGAAAAAATAAAGTCGAGTCGAGCCTCATAAATACTCGTACTATGCGAAATCTAAAAGTAGTATTCGGGGGTCCTACCCTTGTGAAATGTCTGCAACGCTGCATCACCTATCCAATCCCTCCAAATCCCACCGACTGCAGTATAAAGTGTACTATTATGTGGCTGAAGCTGATCTTTAGGGTAGCAATCATTGTTTCCCAGTGCTGGGAATACCTTTGTTGATGGGAAGGCTTCTTTTATCAAAGTCGTTACGTTCACAATGGAGGCAACCACGACCGACTCTGGTTTGAAAGCACTTTCATTTTTCACATGTGGAGACATATCCCTTAAAACAAATCATTCTTGACACAACTGAGCCATCTTATTGACGAAATATACAGTTTCCCAAATTATGGTACATGTATTATAAAATGCTACATCAGTATGGAAACGTCAGCTCACCTGGTTACGTGAAGACGCCATAGGCCATTTGTCGGAGTTCGAGACGCTTGTTTTACATGTGTTACAAGTACTTACTCCATCCACAAAATAAATAGTATAATATGATATATGTTGCTCAGTGGCAATTTGTACAATACATTACAACCTACCCTGTCCAAACAATAAACTCTGGGGCTGGCCCCAAAGATTTCATCGCGCCAACAAAACTTTTCTGAAAGATTACTGGACAATCACATCGTGGCATGCCGAAGATGCCCAACTCTTCCGTAGAAAATACGTCTCTACATGATTCTTGTTGGCTTTCATATAGCGTATCTATATGGTTGTCTGTCACGTGCCAGAAGTATCCTAAAATTCAAAGTGGGCTACTGTAAGTGCATGGTGCAAAATGGTTTCAGCACAAGATTTTTATTTCTACGACATGTGTAATACAGGGTGGGTACAAAACATCCATATTTTTATTTGGGTATAACTTTTTTAATGATGTATTGTATTTTAGAAATATTTTGTATAGATTCAAGGATAACTGATTTCTGAAATGGGATAAATGAATCATCAGAGACGCCATTTGTGACTTTACCGTTGTCAGGCTATTCCGATGTGCGTCTTTGAAAGGTTTAATTAGAGAGGTTTCGCAAAACGAATTAGCTAAAACGTATCCGCATCCGTATCTTGTTACGTTTACGGATACGTATTTCGATAATTTTCGTTTCGCAGTTCGTTTTCTGAAGTACGTAATTATAAACGCATCTCAATCCGTGTTCAATAGTAGTGAAAACTAGGGTCAAATAAATGACTTCATCTGCACTAAGATTTCAAAACACCATTGGGAGTGTCAGCTTTCAGAATCACAACTCCATAAGTATTTTTGGTGAGTGAAAAAATACATATTAACCCCTTCATCCCTAAGGGGTCATTTATTAATTTCATGACATCAATTTCAAAATGAAGAATATCCCTTAGGCCGGAAAACATTATTTCTAGGTTTACAATAACCAATTCAGTGTCAAATTATACTTTGGGGAATATTTAACGGTTTGGACACAGATAGCTGAAATAGTGGTCATTAAGTGACGTGCAGTGACTGCATTATGCCACAAAAATGCGTAAACATTTCTTTTTTCGGTAAAAATGATATTTGAAATTAGTGTGAAGATTTGCGTTAACTTATTTTTTTCCTGAGAATATCAAGGATGCAGCAAGTGCGTTTTGACTTAACATGAAAGCATGCACGCTTAATGTTATATCATCATATCCCTACCTCATTATCTATTTAAATATGCCTTTATAAATATACTTATCAATGCTACATCTCCCCTGTTTTGTATGAAAAATCAACAAAAAACATATTATGTAAAAAGATAAATTAGCATTGTTTTTCTTGAATTCATTGAACAACAGGGGACCAGCTCATCAGAGAATCAGAGAACGACGCGAAGCTAACGCCCATCATACCAGTTGAATATCTCACACTAGAGATTGCACTATATATGAATATATGTAGGTACCAAACCTATAACATACTAATAATACCCTATACACCCTTTGGTTCTACCCAGAATCAACTGATATACCAACAACATAATACCCTAAACCGGTCATTTGTATCTTAACCCAATATACACCACAACCCGATCGGACACAGCCCGCAAATCGACATATATAACCTATTACAACCAAACACAACCTAGATCACCAATCATACAACAGTACAATAGAACATAACCCAGTGTCAAAATACACAGAACGCAATAGAGCATAACCCAGCACCAAAGCCAGCATAGCGCAACCTGACTTACAACCACCATAACACAACCAACTGTCAGATTAACACAATGAGTCACAGCCCAATTATAAGACAACAAAGACAAACACAACCAATTGTTGAATTAACTCAACACAATTGTGCACAATCCAACACTAAACAATAAAAACACAATAAGGCACAACCAATAAAACACAACTAAACTAACAACTATGAAAACACAATGATCTGTGAAATTATCACCACATAATTTGGCACAACCCAATGATAAACCAACAAAAGCAGACACAGCCCATTGTTCAAGTAACACAACACAATTTTTCAAAACCCAAAACCAAACAATCAAAACAAAATCAGGCACAGGCAAAAGAACAAATTCAAATTGTAATACCAAGATACAAAACTAACTAACTCCAATTGGAGACAACGCCAATCACACAACACAATCAGACATAACAAGATGTCTCACCCGACTAGCCACAACCAGCTGGCCAACCAACATAACATATTCACAAGAAAACACGACCCATTATGAAATTAACATAACACAATGGGGCACAACCCGATACTAAATCACCAGACTAACAACCATCAAAAGAGAACCGAGTCTCAAACTTACACAACACAATTTGGCAAAACCTATACCTACTTCACACTAACCCTCCATTACACAACCAAGCTTAACCAAATACTCAATCGATACTCAACCCATCAAAACACAATCAGGCACAACCAATAAACCACAACGAAACTTTGATACCGATATACTCATTATTTTTAGGCTGACGTCATTGTGACGCCACTGCACATGCGCAGAGGTGAGGCAGCCATCAAACTTTTGCGAGAGAAAATCACCCGTGATTTGCTCTGCTGTTTCCACTTCAAATGTCGGTATCGTTGACCATCGAGATGCCGGAGCTATCGCATTACTTACAGCAGTAAGTGGTGCATCTGCACGGGGTAATGGGGAGATGTCATTCACGATGCTGGTCTCTAAAACCAGGTTTGAAGTTGAGGTTGGGTCTTCCGTGACTTTTGCAAATGGCGTCAGCCTCCCATATTTGCAAGTTTTGATCTCAACCTTCAAACACACATCGTGCCGCAAGTACCTCATGTGGATTGATAGCCTGCACCTCATTTCGAACCAGGATTGATCTAGGGATCAATGTGTCAAAATTGGCAAGTATAACATTGTATTTAGTTTGAATTGTTTGGTGCAAAAGCACACTGAAACTATTTGACCTATATTCAACATTGGTTTGTGCAAAGGCACATCAGAATTATTTGACCTAGATTTGCTTTGCAAAAGCATATCATAATTGTTTGAGAGAGTTGTTTTGCATTGTTTATGATCAATACTCATATTGACCATCATGTTTGATTAATTCATTGCTAAGGATTAGTTATTACATATGATCATGTTTTGGTACACTGCGTTACTCAGTCTGTTCCGCAGTTCTGAGGTTCTACTCTGCGCAGTTGTACATTACGCAATGTTGGGTATTTGTCGATAGTTAAGTATTATCAGGTTTTGGTACACTGCATTACTCAGTCTGTTCTGAGGTTCTAATCTGTGCAGTTGTACTTTACGCAATGTATTTGTTGACAGTCAGATATGGTCATGTCTTGGTACACTGCGTCTATTGAGGGCGTTCCGCGGAACTACCCTGCGCAGCTATATACGAGCAAGTTCTTGTTTGGCAACAGCACTGGATGATTGTGTTGAGTTTAGACACTCATGGAAGCCTGGTCTATTGTCAGTTAGTTTGAACTTGAATTGTCTTATTGTTTGGCAACAGTATTAGATTGTTGTGTTGAGTTTAGACACTCATGGAAGCTTAGTTCATTATTTAAATCTACTTTGACTTGAATTGTTCATTTATTGTCAAAGTGTCGGTTTAGTCGTAAAGTTGTGAAGTCATATTAGTACCATAGCTTATACATTTTATGCATGTATAGCTTTATCAAAAGCACTGTTAGGCAGTTAGGAAATACCATTTGTTCCATCTTGTGTCATCAATGGGAATACAAGTTGTTGTACCCACATCTATGCTGTGGCATATAATATTATAGGCTATACCTGGGTATAGCCTATGAGTGGTGTTGTATTACATTAACTTGTGTATACTTTGTATGCGATTCCATCCCTCATTGATCGGCATTGACATGCACCGGCATGTTGCGTATAACATGCACCCACTTGTTACATGGCATGTACCCACTGGATGTGGGATTGCACCCACATGTTACATAACATTAATTTTGACTTGCATGTTACATAATGATTAATGTGCACTCATGTATATATATTGGTATTGCTACTTGGTGTGTCAAACACTATATGTTGTATAAGTTATTGTTATTAAGTTGTTGATTACTTATGGTACTATTATGTTCAACTCTTGTGTCACCATAACTTGTGATTACTTATAGTAATACCATGGTGATATGTATAGTTGGTCTCACAGATCTTAGTGTTTTGTCAGTGGTCATTATTAGGTTCTTTGTGTCATGTGTTACACATATACGAGGGGCGATTCATAAGTAGTGGGACTTTTCTGAGGCAGCAAGTCCCTGTGAACATACCTCAACCAAATTTGGCACATGGACAGACTAGGATATAAGGCATTGTTTGGTGAAATTTCAATTTTATTCTTTTTGTTCCCTAGCAACAACGGTTGCTATGGTAACCAAAAGTAGGGGTTAACGGAGCAGTTAAAAAATGAAGGGCTTGATCAACATAAATATGCTCATAAATATCTCAAAATGACAGTTATTTTCAAATATTTGGTTTCATATTGTCTCAAGCCTTGTAGTCATGACAACTGTAACATATATTACATCATCATGCTATTGTGATGTCACACAAGGCAGTGACACCAGGATGCTGCCATTTTCAGTCCTTCTTGGATGGAGCAAAATTTGATTAAAATAGCAATGAAAATGCAAGAATCGCGTATAAACATCCGTGCTGTGATTAAATTTAATGCTTTGAAAAAGTTTTCAGTATTAAAGACCTATAGAGGTTTGTTGGAAGGCTATGGGAAAGAAGAAGTAAAAAAATCTACAGTATATAGGGGGTATGCTGTATATGTATTCTGAATATAATACATGATAGCCGAGATGACCAATCTTGGAAAATATGGTTTTGAGGGTGCATACCTAGAATGGTTGAGGAGATGCCAAAAATGCATTGATCGTCATGGCGAATACTTTGAGAAAGAGTGAGATTGCACCAGAAGTATAACGAATCAATAGTCTTACACAGAATGGATGTGCTCCACAAAATGACTTGCTAGAAGTCACGGATTAGATCACGTCCTGAATATCAGTTGAGACTTGTATATTTAACTAGCAATTAGTTTAGGAGCCAGTTGTAAGTGTACTCATTATTCATTGGTTATTGTAAGGATATGGTAATACAATATTGCCATTTTATTCCAATGTTTAGTTGGTAACTTGTATTTGACTTTTACGTCATATCGCAAGCTCACAAGAGCTATTTGTAAGTGTACTTGTTATTCATTGGTCATTGTTAGGATATGGTAATACAATATTGCCATTTTATTCCAATGTTTAGTTG